GCTCCTCGCGCAGTGCCCGAGGTCGCCGCGCGTCGACGCCGCCTTCTTCGACGCGCTCGACGCCGCGGGCATCGCCGCGGCGAGGGTCGACGTCGTCGAGGCCGCGGACCCGCCGACGCCGCCCCTCGGCTTCGTCGACGTGGACATCTGGCGGCTCGAGCGGCGCCGGAGCGGCGCGTAAAATTTTGTGTTGTCCCAAGTTTAGAGGAGCTGGCCATTCGGAGCGGGGCGGGTCGAACGCGCCGCGGTCTCACGCGCCGACGCGACAGGCGGCGCCGTCCCAGGCGCAGTGGTGGATCTTGCCGTACTCACCGCTGCAGCCCTCCTCGGAGTAGGAGCACGAGCCCGCGTCGTCGCAGTGGGCCTTGCAGCAGACGTCGCCCGGCGCGCAGTGGCCGTCGTCGTGGTGGCAGCACCGGCCGCTCGGCCCCGGCGCGGGGCCCGGCGCGGGCCCCGGCGCGGGCCCCGGCGACGGCCCGTCGCAGGATCCGGCCTCGAGGACGCCCGCGAGGAGCGCGGCGCGCCACGGCGCGTCCTCGAGGCACACGGCGAGGCCGCCGCGCTTGAACTGGGACTCGTCGCGGTTGTTGTCGTTGGCGCAGACCCAGGCCGCGGCCTCGCCCTTGGCGGCGACGGCCCACTTGGCGTGGTCGTCCTGCGTCGGCCAGGCGGCCGTGCCGTCGCCGAACTTGAGCGTCTTCGTGTCGACGACCGTGTGCGCGGCGCCGCAGTGCGGCCCGAGCGGGTGGCCCGAGTCGAGCCACGACTGCGACACGAGGTCCGCGCCGAGGCGCGGCGCGAGGACGTCGTCCGCGAGGTCCGCGCCGAAGGCGCCGGCTTTGGCGAGGAAGGCCACGGGGCCGACGTCGACGCGCGCCGACGCCTTCTGGTCGTAGAACGTGTCGCCGGCGAGGAGCTTGGACAGGTTTCCAGAGGGAGAGGGGAACGACACGTCGAAGATCCAGGGCTTGGCGAAGCGCGCGGCGTAGGCCTACCGAGCATGACGGTGACGATGTCTCGTTGCTTTCCCCAAATCTCTCGAACATCGTCACGGCCACGGGACGCTGGCGTAGGCCCAGGCGTCGAGCCCCGCGGCGGCGAGCGTGAAGCAGGACGCGGACTGGCCGTACTTCTCCTCGCCGCGGCGGTACTCGTAGCCGTCCTTGACGTAGTTGGGGAAGTCGGGGATGGAGTGGTGGAGGAAGAAGCCGTCGCCGGACGCGGCATCGGCGACGACGGCGCCCTTGCTGTGGCCGTAGTCCTCGGTCCAGGACCCGTTGGGCCACTGGTCGTTGTAGAAGACGTGGTCGACGCCCTGCTTGCGAGCGTAGACGTCCGCGAGCTGGCTGCCCAGCAGCGACGCGGCGTCCGTGACCTTTTTCGCGGAAGCCGTGAGCTTGGGCGTCGACGACGACATCCACGAGTAGGACATGCCGTCGTCGCGCGCCGACGCCGCGAGCGGGAACTTGTAGAGGAACCACCTGCGACGCGTTTCGGTGGAAGCGTTGCAATGAATCGGACGCTGCGGCAGCGCACCAGTCGACGGCCTGGCCGGCCTCGTCCACGCAGTGCGGCGCCGCGCCCGCCGAAGCGGCCAAGGCGGCGAGCATGCTCAGTCGTGCCATCAGCTCGGGATCGCAGCGATTCGATACGAATTCGAAGGCGTGCTCCAATCAGGCCGCGTCGGCTTCGACCTTGACGGCAACATCCTCGGACGACCCCTCTCCCTAGCTCGCCGGGGGTCCGCAGCACACCCAAACCTTTTGGTGTTGAACACCCGATTAGCCCTCGATGGGCCTCAAAGCGGCGCGTAGGCCGCGGTAGCCGAAGGAAAAACGGCCCCGGCCGCGGCGCATGTACCCCACGAGGGCGCGGAGCCGTTCCAACCGTTCGTGATGGCGACTTCGCGGCTCCAAACGGTCGCGTGACAGCGGCCGGCGGCCCACGCTCTCAGAGGCCCGAGTGCGGACTCGTCGGAAACGCTGCTTCTGGCTCGTTTGGGGCGTGCGCGGGTCCTTAGTGATGGTGTAAGAGATTCCGCGTGCTTGGTTCGATGCGTGCGGGCCCAAAACGTGACTGCGCGCGCGGCCGAAGCTCGGCGCCGACGACATTCCCGACGCGTTGACCGCGGGCATCCGGAGCGCCACACGTGCGAGGCGCTGGTCACATCCCTCCGGTGGGTCATATACTCGGTCCGGAAGCGTCGTGTGACCTCGGAAAACGTGTTGAAGTCGTGGATCGCGGACCCCATACACTGCAGCCCTACCGAATGATCTCTGCCGCTGCGATTCTCGTCACCAACGTCCACGGCGACGAGCCCGAGCACACCATCGTCGTCATATGAGATCTACGTGGCCTCCGGCTAGAAATTTCCAGCGACAACGACATTTTTGACCCGTTCGCGAATCTGGTGCTCGAGCGCATACAGCCTCATCTCGGGCGGAGCACCTACCTCTTAATCCGAGCTTCTAGTGGGCGCCTCTCGGTCGAGCTTCGACGCCGGTACTCTGGCGCCTCTAGGGACGAAGAGACGCGGTGCGGGCTCGGGTTTCGGGTCGCTAAGACACCGTAGAGTGCCAGACGGTGTTTTGAAAGAATTATTTACGCCACGCCTGCGTCGCAGGTGACCGGGCCACCGCCGGAAAGCCCGCGGCGTCGCAAAGCCATGTACTTGGAGCGTCGATAACGAAAAAGTCCGGGGGTACAGACGCGAACGGCGACCGCGCACCGTGCGCGAACGTGTCGGTTTAGGACCGTCTCCGTCGACGTACGACTTCGACGCCGCATAGAAGCACGTCGGGTCCAGCGCTAATGAGTGCTCCACGGCCCTCGCCCATAGATAGGATGAGCTCGGAGCCCATATCTTCGCACCGCCGCCCCCATGGGCGTCGCGTAGCCGTCGCCGAGCGGTTGCGCGAGTTTGCGCCGAGTACGACGTTCGCGTCCGCCGAGCGTCGCAGGTCGTCCGCGCCCGCGAGGAGTAATTCCCGATCGCTTCGTGGAGACGCTTGGCCGCGAAATCGATCAAGTCCGGGGGCACGGACCGCGGCCACCGCGCGCCGGCCGCCGCAGAGCGGCGCCCGAAACCGCCGCCGAAACGGGTTCTGGGGTCATGAACGGCGATGTGGCGTATTTGACGTGGTCTGTTGGGCCACGGCTCACCCATAGTGATAGACGAGCTGCACGAGCCACTTCGCCGACGGGAACTCGCGCAGATCTAGCCGCGGTCCGCGCCTCGAACGTGTCGTCTGGACCCGTCTTCGGCCGCGCGCCGCACCACGACCACGGCCTCGGCCGACGCAGTCGAGCGCGCGCCGCACCTATGCGCAACATGGACGGACCGCCGCGACGGTTTACGGACCCGCGGCGACCTCCGGACGCGTCCAGCGCCGCCCGCTGCTCGACCGCTCCCGCAGGCGGTTTCCGAGGCCGTGTGCGTCGTCGCGCGCACGCCGTTTCCAGCGCTCAAAAGTGGCACGCGACCGCGCAGGGAGTAGTAGACGCGGACGGAAGCGGCGCGGGGGTCACAGGCGGCCTCATACGGCCTTCGGCGCGGCGCGAGGCCCATATTGAGGCTAATCGTCCGAGAGGTTCGGGTGTGCGCAGGCAGGTGATCAGCAGCTTTTTGTGCGGATGATCATGATGAAGAACCTCGTCTTCGTCAGCGGCGCGGCCGTCGCGGGGGCCCAGTTCTTCGCCCCCCGGAGCGGCGAGTTCGGCGGGTCGCCCTTCTTCGGCGTGGCGCCCGCCCCCCCCGCCCCCGAGGCCGCCGGGGACCTCGACGACCTCGAGGCGCTCCTGTCCCTCGCGGCGGAGGCGTCGAGCGTGTCCCCCACGGGGCTCGTCATCGTGCGGCGCACGACCTTCACCATCGACGCCCCCGCCTTCGTCGTGAGCCGCTACGACGACGACGACCGGGCCCCCGGCGACGACTCGCCGCACGACTTCGAGTGCCCCTGCGGCGCGGACGTCGACCGGCTCTGCGGGAACGAGCAGGCCGACGACTTCTACCTCAGCATCTTCCAGAAGCGCCTCTGCCTCTCGGGGAACCGCGACTTCCTGTCGCCGGCCTGCGCGGCGCATTTGGAGGAAGCGCCGACCGTCGTCGAGTACTGCTACGACGACGTCGTCGACGGCTGCGCGGGCGTCCAGCCGGGCGAGAACCGCGTCCACGCGTGCCTCGCGGGCCGCGCGACCCTCGGCGAGGCCTGCGCCGCCTACGTCGACTCCGTCGCGCCGCCGCCGCCGCCGGCCGTCGACGACGCGGCGCAAGCCTTCGAGCGCCTCGTCGCGTCGTCGCTCGACATGCTCTCCGCCGTCTTCGAGTCCCCCCTCTTCGGCGACGACGACGTGCCGCCGCCGCCGCCGCCGGCCGGCGGCGCGTCGCCCCTGCCCAAGGCCCCGCGCGCGGCGCCGAAGGCGGCGGCGCCGCGGCCGGCCGCGTACGAGAACGCGGCCGCCGCGGAGCGCGCGGCCGCGGCCGCCGAGGCCGAGGACGAGGCCTGGGCCGCGGAGCTCGCGGAGGAGGAGGAGGAGCGCTCCGTCGCCGCCGTCGTCCTCCTCGCGGCCGCCGTCGTCGGCCTCCTCGCGGCGCTCTGGGTCCTCGCCTACGTGGCCCACTACTCGCTCCGCCGGCGCCAGGAGCGCGCCGCCGTCGCCGAGTTCAAGTCCAAGTTCGCGCCCCTCCTGCCGCGCGAGAACGCCATCTGAGTCGACGCCCGGGCTCCGCCCGCGGCCGCCCAAGCACGGCGCCCGCGGCGCGTCGAGCGCCCCCCTCCCTCCTTTCGCATAATCCCATACGCCCGCCCTTTAGTCGGCTTTCTTGTCGTCGACGAAGGTGCCCGACGCCGTGCCGGCCTTGACCTCGGCGACCATGTAGGCGTGGCGCGCGTACATAAGCGGGAGCGTGGCGCCGCAGACGACCCAGCCCTCCCAGTTGCCCGGCCGCTTCCGGACGTGGCCCGCGAAGCCGGCGACGAGCACGAGCGCGTGCGACAGCGTCATGGACCCGACGTAGAAGCGCGTCCGCCACCGCGTGCCGCCGCCCAGGACGGCCCAGGCGACGCAGCCCAGGCTGCCCGCCTCCATCGCCGCGAGCGCTCCGCACGTCGCCAGAGCCCACTCGCAGTCGTCCGGCTCGCGCGTGAGCGCGCGCCAGGCGAGGCCGCTGAGCAGCGACGTCGTGACGTGGTGCGCTGTCATGGCCGCGTCGCTTTCGAACAGCAGCAGCTCCCGGAGCTGCATCCCGGCGAGCGACGGCCCCGCGTGGGCGGCCAGCGCGCCCTCGAAGGCCGGCCGCGCCGCGCAGGCGCCGCCGTGGGAGACCTGGTGCGCCCAGGCGGCGACCAGATAAGCCGCCGCGGGCGCGAAGAAGAGCAGCTGCTGCGAGCCGGGCGTGAGCCAGCTGAAGAGCGGGTACGCGGCGAATCGGTCCGCGTGCCGGTCCGCGCCGGGCACGGCCGCGTCGACGACGCCCAGGAGGAGGCAGAGCGCGACGTTGAGCGCGAACCAGAGGCCGACGACGCGGCCGAAGGCGGGCCAGGTCGCGTCGACGAGCGGCGACGCGCGGGCGGCGATGTCCAGGTAGACGACGCGGCCGCAGAACGCGACGGCCGTGGCGAGGCCCAATGCGACGGCCCAGCGCAGCGGCCCCTCGACGGCGACGAGCTCCGCGGGCAGGCGCCGCAATTTCGACTGGAACGCGCGCGCGCGGCGGCTCGTCGTTGCAGCCATCGCACGATCGCAGCGCTTAGGGCGATGTTGATGACTTGTTGACCCTCAAGGTGCGGCGCTCTCGGCAGCCCGCTCTCCGCGCCAGCCACCTGGAAGCAAGCCCCGCCGCGCCGCGTCCGCATGAAGGCCTGCCTGCTCGTCGGCGCGTGCGTCGCGGCCGTCGCGGCCGTCGCGGCCGTGGTCCTGCGGCCGCACGTCAAGGAGGCGCTGGCCTTCCTCAAGGACCCGGCGTCCGTCTTTTCGGATGGGAGCGCCGTGAACCCCGAGGCCTACCGGGCCCTGCTCCTGAACAACAGCGAGGCCCTGGAATCCCTGGGCCAGCAGAACGCGACGTGGCGCAGCATCGTCGAGACCGGCACGCTCGACGAGTTCCAGGCCTTCCTGCGGGACATGCGCGCCACGAGCGTCGCGACGTCGGCGTTCGCGCGGAACCCCGACGGCTCGGCCGTGAACCCGAAGGCCTTCCGCGAGCAGTGGAGGGCCGACGCGGCGCGCATGGAGGCGTTGGAGGCGTCGGACCCCTACATGCACTGGGTCGTCGCGACGCAGGACGACGACGCCGTGTTTCAGGACATGCTCCGCGGGGAAGAGTCGAAGCGGCGAGGCGAGGAAAAGTTCGTGAACGCGGACGTCATGGCGACGATGACCATGCTCACGGAGGACGGCGAGGAGAAGGAGCTCCACCAGGTCCAGCCGCGGCAGACGGAGGAGGAGGTCGGCTCGGCCGCGATGCCCGACTACATGAAGTGCGCGGCCTGCGGGGGCGTCTCCCACCAATTCACCTCCGCCATCGCCGCGACGCTCGCCGCGCGGGAGGCGGGGACCATCTCGAACGCGGGCACGAAGCCCGAGCCCCTCGCGGCCGAGCTGCTGGACGCGCTCCAGGACGGCGTCTGCCGCAACATGAGCCTGTGGACGCACGAGTACGGCGTCCAGCCGGGCGTCCGGGGCACGAACGTGCTCGTCGGGCCGGGCATCGTCCAGGACGACCAGTTCCCGCCCGAGGACGCGCTGCTCCAGACGCAGCACGGCAATTTGTGGGGGCGGCGCCTCGCGGACCTGTGCCAGCAGATCGTCGTCGACCACGACGAGCTCGACCTCGCGCACGCCGTCGCGCGCGACGAGGACCTGCGCCCGACGCTCTGCGACGTCGCCGGCGTCTGCCGGCCCAAGAAGGCGCCCGCGGTCCCCGCGCCGAAGAAGAAGGCCCGCAAGAAGCCCAAGAAGGCGCCCGCCGCGGCCGCGGCCGCGGCCGCGGCCTCCGCCTAGAGTAACCGATCCCGGTCTTAGCCTAGAGTCACCGATCCCGGCCTTCGCCTTACCCGAGGCCCGGGTACGTCCCCACGGAACCGGCCGCGGCGAAGCAGGGGGCAGGCTCGGCCCGGGGCTGCTTCTCAGCTTCCTTGACGCCGCTCTTGGACAGAAGCGCCGCGAGTTCGGGATCCGCGGTGGCGAGCTTCGCGATTTCGCTTTCCAAGAGCGGCCCGAACTCGGCCAACATAAGCGCGGACGCGTTCGGTCCGATGGCCCTGTCCTCGAACCGCACGATGAAATGCGTGCGCGGGTCGAATCTCGGATCTTTCAAGAGCTTATTCAGCTTGGCATCAACCGGCTTGTCGCCCCTCGCCCACAGCGCGCGAATGTCGGCCTCGTCCATATGCAAGGCTTGGATGCCGACCTTGCCGCTCTCGCGGCCCTTCGAATCCGTATACATGCGTTCTAAAAAGTCGGAAAACCCGGCGTGCGTGAACTCGCAATACAATTTCCGCGTCCCGGCGAGGCCCTTGGCGCGCACGGCCTCGGCCGAGTCCCCAAAGTCCGGCGCGCCGAATTTCGTGCATCGGAGCTTCGACAGCTGGCTCGACACCAACTTCGGGCCCGTCGGGTCGGTCGCGTGGAACCGAAACACCTCGAATTCTTCCTGGAAAAGCTTCGACTGCTCGGGCGTGAGCCAGTTGTCGAGCCCCGCTTCCGACAGGTTCTTGGTCTGGTCCCGCGCGTACTCGTCGAGCTCGCGTTCGCTCATCGAAGGGTTCAGCTTCCGGTATTGCGCGGCGACGTCGGCGGCGGCGCGCTGGTACTTGCGGCACGCCGCCTTGTGGCCCTTCCAGGCCGCCTTCTGGCAGGCGCTATCGCAATACACGACCTGCTTGCAGCCGGCGCACGCCTTCATCGCACCGCCGTCGGCTTTGCCGCACGCGCCGCACGCGCGGCGCTCCGCGCGCGTGCGGCCCATCTCGGGCGTGAACCCCTCGGAGTAGCTCTTCTCGACGCCGTCGGGCTTCTGCCCGTTGACCACCATGGCCCGCACCTCCATGAGCTTGTGGAACCTGGGCAGGACAAGAGTGCGAAATTCCCAACTTCAAATGCTCCTCTCTCGGCCGGTTTCCACTCGTTTCGGCTGATTTTTGGACGAGCGATCATCTTTCGGAACGGTCTCGAAGCGTAGATGCTTTTTCTAGAACGGGCGCGCGTGGAACACTCACGTTGAAGCGACGTTGAATCACCCTTGTCCTGCCCTGTGTGGAACGTGGTGATGGCGAATTGGTGCGAGAACCCCGGCGGCGCGCGCCGGCGCCCGGTCGGCGGCACGTCGCCCGTGCACGCGAAGGCGATCACTTCTTGGCGACCGGGGGTCACGGGAAACTGGGCGATGAGTTGCCTCACCTGGGGCCGCGCGTACGACACGGGATAATGCCGCGCATCGTCGAGGTGCGCGACCAGCGCGCGCGGCCGTTTGCGCGAAAACATCGTCGCGCCGCCGATGACCCCGTCCACGTCCAGGGAATCGATCGAGGCCCCGCGCGCGAGGCGCAGGTCGAAGACGAGCACGTCCAGCTCGTCGTTGGGCGACTGGCTCTGGAGTTCCCAGCCGCGGCGCTCGAGCTTGGTGAAGTGGATCGTCATCCAACTCGAGTAGTTGGCCGTGTCGAAGGCAGGGTCACCGAAGATGGTTTCCGGATCGGGTCGCGCCATGAGCCCAGGCGGCGCTGGCGGGCCGGCCCCGATCAAGCTGCCCAGCTCCAGTTCGCGCGCCGAGGAACTTCATGAATGCTTCAATAAACGCTGATTTACCACACGCGATGGCCTCTGCGATGGAGTCCGCGAACCCGGACGCGCCCGCCGCGGACGACGCCGATGGCGACGACGCATTTTCCTTCGACGACGACGAGGACGCGGCGCTCGCGGCCGTCGTCGACGACCTGGCCATGGAGCCCGACGAGCACCGCGTGCCGAGCGTCGCGGAGCTCGAAAAGCGCTTCGGCGCCGAGTTCGTCGCGAACCTGCGGTCGCCGGACGAGCTCATCGCCGAGGCCGTGCTGCGCAACGCCGGCGGCGCGCCCGACGAGGCGCTGGCCTGCGCGGCCGCGGCCGTGCGCACGCACGATTTGTGCGGCGCCGCGGACGAGCGGTTCCGCTTCGCGTGCCACGACCGGCGCCTCGGCGTGCAGATGATGGCCGTGTTCCTGCGCGTCAAGGCGCCGGCGTCGAGCGCGCGCTGGGAGCTGCTCGCGCGCGTGAAGAGCGGGTTAGGGGGCGGCGCGCCGTTCACGGTGTCGCCGGTAACCCATCCGCGGCTCGACGTGCTGGGCGGCGGCGACCGGGACACGAAGGACTTAGAGCCGTGGACCGACGACGACGGCCCGCTGCCTTTAGACGCCCTGCTCTTCCCCGGCGCGGCGCCCGCGTGGGTCGCCGCGGACCTCCCGCGGCTCGTCGTCGTCGAGGAGACGCTCGACGGCGGCGCCGTCGGCGGCGGCCTCGCCGTCGAGCTCGGCCGGTGCCGCCGCGGCGGAAATGGCGCCGTCATCGAGGTGCTCTACGCGGCGACGGAGGCCGGCGACCTCGCCCACGGCGACGACGGCCCGTTCCTCCCGCGGGCCGAGGCCGCGCGGCAGCTGCTCGTCGCGAGCGACGCGCGCGACGAGTGGCCGCCGCGGACGGTCAAGGCGCCGGCGGCCGTCGTCCGGGCGCTCGCGCGGCGCCTCGAGGGCGCGCGCGCGAGCCTGCGCACGGCGGCCTGCGTCCGGCTCCGCGACGGTTTCCGGGATCGCAACGACCGCGGCGAGGACGCGCGGGAGCGGTGCTCGCTCCGCGCGCTCCGCGACGGGCTGCGCGCGGCCTACGTCGGCCGGCTCGGCGGCGACGACGACCTGGACCCCGTGGCGCGCGCGGCGGCGCGCAAGGCCGCGGGCAACGACGCCTTCGGCGCCGGGGCCCACGACGTCGCGCTCAAGCGCTGGGGCGAGGCCGCGGAGCTGCTCGACGCGCACGGCGACCCGGCGGGGCTGCTCCCGTCGCTCCACGCGAACCGCGCCGAGGCGTGCCTGCGCCTCGGCCGCCACCGGGAGGCCGCGCGCTTCGCCACCGACGCGCTCGCCCTCGACCCGGGCCACGCGAAGGCGCGGCTCCGGCGGTGCCGCGCGCTCAAGGCGCGGGGGAAGATCCAGGACGCGCTCGCGGACGCGCAGACCGTCGTCGACGCGGGCGGCGACGCCGCCGCGCGACGGGCCGCGACGGCGCTCCGCGACGAACTCGCGTCCCTCGCGCGGACCAACGCGCCGACGCTGCGCGTGCCCGAGGACTTCGGGACCTTCAGCGCGGCCTGCGCCTCGGCCGAGGCGTCGTCGACGGGCGCTTTGATCGTCCTCGCGCCGCGCAAATACGACGAGGCCGCGTCGCTGCGCGGCTGCGCCGCGGGCGAGCTCCGCGTCGTCGTCGACGGCGACGCCCACGCGGAGGTGAGGGCGCTCAAGGTCTCCGGCGCGCGCGTGTCGCTCGACCGGATCTTGGTGACGGGCGGCGCGGCCGTCGCCGAGACCGCGGGCGCGGTCACGTTCCGCCGCTGCATCCTCTCGAACGGCAACGGCGCGGCGCTCGAGACGCGCGGCGCCGACGTGGCCCTCGAGAGCTCCGTCGTCGAGCACGCGCGCGACGGCGTGCTCGTGCACGGCGGCGCCTTCCGGCTCTCCGGGTCGACGGTGCAGTACTGCTACTGCGACGGCGTGTCCGCGCACGTGCGCGTCGTCGTCGAGGACGTCGTGATCAAGGACTGCGGCGGGCGGGGCCTCACGTCGACGGTGCGCTTCGACCCCTTCGTGCGGCGCGGCGCCAACAACATCCAGGCGGACCCGGAGTTCGACGAGGCCGACGGCCAGCGCGCGGCCGCGGCGCGCGCGGCGGCCGACCCGGCGGCCCTGCGCCAGCGGGAGGTCGACGAGGCGCGCCACGGCCTGCGCACGGCCGCCGACGAGCCCGAGAGCCTCATGGCCGCGCTCGAGGGCGCCATCGCCGCGGGCATCCCCGCGGACGACGCCGACATGGCCCGCGCGCGGCGGGACCTCCAGCGCCACGCGGCGCGGCGCGACGACGACGACGACGACGCCGCGGCCGGCGAGCTGCCGGGCGTGCTCCCGGAGCCCCAGGTCCCGCGGCTGTAATTTTGGCTCCTGCTGCAACTTGAAGGCAAACTTTTTAGTTTTGGGCGTTGGGGCAGCTATCCGATGGAGTCTCTGTATTCCGCGCGGCCATACTGAAATCGATGGAGTCTCTGTATTCCGCGCGGCCATACTGAAAAACTCAGCTGCAGCCATGCGGGCAGCCGCGAGTCTCGTGCTCGTGCTCGCGGCGGTCGCGCGCGGCTGCGTCGACGACGCCAGCTTCGTGGACCGGCGCGGCCGGGCCTGCGCGGCGCACGCGCGCTGGGACTGCGAGTCCTACGCCGCCGACTACCCGGCGCTCTACACGGCCGCGGACGCCGACGAGATCGCCGCGGCCTGCCCGCTGGCCTGCGGGCGCTGCTCGGCGGCGTGCCCGGCGGGACGGGCCAACTTCACGGCTTCCGACTACGACGGGCTCAAGGCCATCCTCGACGCGGAGGCCTGCGCGGACGTGACGATATCGGGCCGCGTCGTCGTGCGCGCGACGGCGTCGTCGACCGGCGCGGGGCTCCTCGTGCGGTCCGGCTGCGACGTCGTGCTCCGCGGCGCGACGGGCTTTGAGACGATCGACGGCGCGGGCCGCCACCGCGCGCTCCGGGCCGTCGGCGACCTCACGCTGCGGCGGCTGCGCGTCGTCGACAGCGTCGTGACGCAGCCGGAGCCCGGCGAGGACGAGCCGCGCGGCGGCGCGATCCGCGCCGACGGCGATGTCCGCGCGTGGCACTGCGAGTTCCGCAACTGCAGCGCCGGAACGTACACCAACACGAACGGAATGGTGTTCTGGGAGTGGTGGACGGTGACCCGCGGCCTCGGCGGCGCGATCTTCTCCCTTGCCGACGTCGCCGTTGGGTTCACGAACTTCACGGGCTGCCGGGCCGACGACGGCGGCGGCGCGATCCACGCGTACATGGCCGACGTGGCGATCCGGCCGGGGTCGGGCTTCTTCGGAAACGTCGGCACCGCGGGCGGCGCGGTTCATCACTCCTCCTACGGGGCGCTCGACGCCGGCGACGCGGACGACGAGCGCTGCGCGACGGGCCCGCCGTTGCGCTTCGTCGGCAACGCCGCGGTCGCAGAGGACGACTACGAGGACGACATTCTGTCTGGCGGCGCGATCCACTCCTCGGGCTGCTCCGTGAAGCTCGCGAACGTGCGCGCGGCGCGCAACGCCGCGGCGAACGACGGCGGCTTCCTCGATTGGGCGCCGTATTACGTGTGCGCCGCTTATCCGGCGCGGCCCTTCGCGACCGTCGCCGACGCCGTCTTCGAGGACCACGCCGCGAGAGGCGGCGGCCAGAACGGCAACGGCGGCGTTTTGAGATTCGTGGGGCCGGCCTACTACTGGTGGGTCTGGATCGAGCCCGCGGTGACCCTGTCGCGCGTCGTCGTCGACGGCGCGGCCGCGCGGCGCGGCGGCTTCGTCCACAGCACGTCCGCCACGCTCGCCGTCGAGGACGTCACCGTCGTGGCGACGGCCGCGAGCAAGTCGGGCGGCGGCTTCCACGTCGAGTCCGGGGTCGCGACCTTTTCGCGGGCGGGCCTCGCGGGCCTGAGTGCGGAGGAAGGCGGCGCGGCTTTTTTCGACGAGGGCGCGGTGGCGACCTTCGCCGGCGCGAACGCCACCGCCTGCGCGGCCGACTCGGGCGGCTGCTTCTACGTCGCCGGAGCTGCCGCCGTCGAGTTCGCGGGCGGCGCGCTGACCGGCTGCTCCGCGTCCGCCGGAGGCGCTTTGTTTGTCACGGGCGATGCGTCGGTATCGCTCGCGGACGCGTTCGCGGCGAGCGCGTCGGCGACGTACACCGGCGGCTTCGCGCACTTGTCGGACGGGACGATCGACGGGGCCGGGACGACGCGCGTCGCGGGCTCTTCCGCCGAGGGCGGCGCCGGCATCTACGTCGCCGACGGCGCCTACGGTCGACTCAGAGGCGTCGCGTTCGCCGGCGGCGAGGCGTTGCAGGGCGCCGTGCTCTACTGCGCCGTGTCCGCGACCTGCGACCTGCGCGACGCGCGGTCGTCGGCGAACGTCGCGACGCACGAGGGCGCCTTGCTCTACGCGGAGCGGTCCGCCGTCGTGGCCATCGACGGCGTCCTCAGCGCCGGCGACGCGGCGCCGACGGCGATCTTCGGCCTCACGACCGGCGCATCGCTGACGCTGTCGAATGCGACGATCAACTTCCCGAACGTCGTCTGCTGCTGCGTCTCCGCCGTCGGCGCCGCGCGGCTCGTCCTCGCCGACGTGCGCATCGCCGACGCGTTTTCGAAGACGGCCGGCGCCGCGATCTTCGCCGACTTTACGAAGGTCGTCCTCCGCGGCGTGACCGTCGACGGCGCGGTCGACGCGACGGGCGCCGCGATTGACGTCGTGGACTCGACGCTTGACGCTGTCAACGCGTCCGTCGTCTTCTCGACGACGAGCCTCGGCGCGGCCGCGCTCTCGCTTCGCGGGTCGTCGGCGACGCTGCGGAACTGCTCGTTGGTCGGGAACGCGGCGGTCGCCGGCGACGGCGGCGCGGCGTCGATCGCGTTGTCGCATCTCGTCGCGGACGGCCTCGCCGTGTTGGCCAACGCCTGCGACGGCGACGGCGGCGGCGTCCACGCGGAGGCCGCGACGCTCGCGCTCCGCGGGAGCGTCGTCGCCGGCAACGCCGCGGGCGGCTCCGGCGGCGGCGTCTGGCTCGACGGCTCGTCCCTCGAGCTGCGCAACAGCAGCTTGTCCCGGAACTTTGCCGCCGTCGACGGCGGCGGCGCGGCCCTCGTCCGCGGCGCGGCGCTCTCGTCCGCCGGCGCCGCGGTCGTCGAAGGCAACGAGGCGTCGTCGGGCTCCGGCGGCGGGCTCAACGCGTCGAACGCGTCCGTGATGTTCGCGGCCCCCGGCGACCAAATCCGCGGCAACGCGGCCCCGCGCGGCGGCGGCGGCGCGGCGTTCTACGACGTCCGCGACACGCGCGAGCCGCGGCTGCCGCCGGGAACGCGCGGCAACGACGCCCTCTACGGCCCCCGCCTCGCGACGGGCGTCACGGCCCTCGGCTTCGTCCGGTCGGCCTACCGCGAGGCGTCCGGCGTGGTCTTCAACGCGTCCGTGGAGGCGCGCGTGCTCGACCTCTACGGGTCCGTCGTCGCGACGTCCGACGGCGAGTCCGTGCTGCTCGACGTCGAGGGCGCGGAGCTCACGGGCGACTCCAAGGGCTTCACGGTCGCCGGGCGCGCGGTCTTCCGGGGCGTCACGCTCACGCGGGCGCCCAACGCGTCCCTGACGCTCCGCGCGGAGGTCGTCGGCGCCGCGCCGCGCCTCGAGGCGGCGGCGGCCGTCGTCCTCCGGGCCTGCGTCGCGGGCGAGTACGTCGCGACGAACGCGCTGAGCGGCACCTCCACCTGCCTCGTCTGCGCGGCGGGCTCCGTGAGCTTCGCGCCCTCCGAGTCGTGCGCCGCGTGCCCGAAGCACGCGACCTGCGCCGGCGGGCGGCGCCTCGTGCCGGACCGGGGCTACTGGCGGTCGCGCCGCGACAGTCTCAACGTCGTGCGCTGCAAGGAGAACTACTGCCGGAGCGTCGATCTCCTCGACGAGGCGCCCCGGGACGACGTCCGCGCGCCGTCCGGCGCCTGCGCGGGGAAGCACGCGGGGCCGCGCTGCGCGCGCTGCGAGCGGCACCACTACTTCGACGGCGCGACGTTGAAGTGCGCGAAGTGCTCCGCGCGGAAGACGCGGAGCCTCTGGGTCGCGCTCGCCGTCGTCGCCGCGTGCGTCGCCGCGGGCGCCGCCGCCGCGCGCTGGGTCCTGGCCTGGCTCCGGCGGCGCTTCGCGGGGTCGAAGGACGTCTTCGAGGACATCTCGGCGCGCTGGATGCCCTGGCTCGTGCCCAAATTGAAGATCCTGCTCGTGACGTTGCAGATCGTCGGGTCGTTCCAGGAGACGTTCGCCGCGGTGTCCTTCCCGGAGCTCTTCTCGTCCCTGCTGAAGCGGCTCCGGGTGCTGGGCCTCGACCCGACGACGTTCCTGGCCGCGGGCACGGCCTGCGACCGGCCGGGCTGGGACTACCTGTTCCGGCTGGAGCTCTTCACGGCGCTGCCCGTCGCGCTCCTCGCGTCGCTCTTCGCGATTTATCACCTCCTAAAACGGCGCCACGGATCGGCGCTCCTCGAGGTCGTCGCGCTCGTCGCGCTCGTGACCGTCCACGTCTTGTACACGACGGTGTCCAACATGGTGCTGGGCACGCGCGAACCCGCGTCCCGTGGTTCGAGAGATGGTTCGCTGGGGAAACGACCAGCGTCGTCGCTTTAGGCTCTTTTGCGACGACGACTTCGGCGGCGAGCCCGCGGGGTCGCCGCTGGCGGACTCGTCCTGGCTCGCGGCGGACTACGCCGTCTCCTGCCGGTCGCGGCGCTACGCGGTCCACCGGGTCTACGCGATCTTCTGCATCTTCATCTACCCCGTCGGGGTTCCGGCCGTGTTCCTCGCGCTCCTGCTCTCCGTGCGGGACCGCGTCACGGCGCGCGACTACGACGTCTTCGTGCGGAACGTGCTGAAAGGCGGCGACGACGTCCTCGCGGTCTCTTCGGCGCAGGTCGGGGGCAAGGGCCCCGAGTCGCCCGCGGAGCTCCGCTTCCGCGAAAACTACGCGTCGAAGAGCTCGGCGCGCCGGCGGTCGACGGTCTTCTCCCGGCGCTACGAGACGGGCCTGAAGGTCTACGGCGCCGCGGAGGAGTACGTGCGCGTCCGGTCGTCGCTCGGCGCGCTCCGGTCGCCGGAGAGCCCGGGCAACACGCGCGAGGCCGCGGACGCGTGCCTCGCGACGCTCGGCGAGAACATCCTCACGTCGCACCGCGAGATCGACCCCGCGTGCGCGCACCTCGCGTTCCTCTTCTCGGAGTACGCGCCGCGGTGCTGGTACTTCGAGGTCGCGGAATGCCTCCGGCGCATCTCGCTCACGGGCTTTCTTGTGGTCTACGACGACGAGTCCATCGGCAAGATCTACACGGCGTCCATGCTCTCGCTCGCCTTCGCGGTGGTGTACGCCTACCTGTCGCCCTACGGCGACGACAGCACGAACCGCTTCGCGACGGCGATGCAGTGCGTCATCTTCCTCCAGCTCTTCCTGACGATCATGCTCTACGCGGAGACGCACATCGACGACGACGACGTCCGCGCGGGCTGGCCGCCGCGGCGCTTCGGCGTCATCATGGTGGTTTTGTCCGTCGCGAGCGGGCCCCTCGCGGCGATCGTCGAGGCCTGCATCGAGGCGCGGCTCGAGGGCGTCACGTTCCTCGGCTGCCTCCGGCCCGTCTGGGCGCTCCGCCGGACGCTGTCGGGCGGCGACGCGTCGACCGCGAACCCGCTCCACGACGGCGTCGAATTGAAGGGCACGCGGAGGAACGGCGCCTCCCGGGAGAAGGAGGGCGCGGCGCGTTTAGAGACGCGTTCAGGCAAGCGGAAGAACGGCGCGGAGAAGAAGGACGGCGAGCCCTCCGACATCGCGATCTACGACGTCTACCAGGGCGGGCGCGAGCAGGCGATACTGTAAGCAATTTAATAGACCCCCTCCTCCTCCTCCTCCGCGCCGTCGTCCTCCGCGGTCTCGGGTCGCGGGAGGGCGCTCCGGAGGGTCGCCTGCTGCGCGGGATCCGCGAGCGTCGCGAGGTGCGCGTGGATGTTGTCGAGGCCGTCGGGGAGGCCGTGGAGGTCGTCGAGGTCCGCGCCGGCGAGGTCGACGTGGTCCGCGAGGAGCTTCGCGTAGGAAAAGACGCCGCCGGCCTTGCGAGCGAGGCAGTCGACGACGGCGTCGAGCCCGCTGTTCCTCAGGCGCCGCGCGACGAACGCGGCCGCGGCGCTCCCCGCGAGGCGCTCCGGCAGCACCCGGGAGACGAAGGGCTCGTATTGGCAGTATCGAGAATGAAGCTGGCCCTTGGCGGCGTCGACGCCGTCGAGGGTGAGCTCGAACTCGACGACGTGGCCCGGGCCGTCGCGGCCGGGGAGCGGGACGAGGAAGCACGCGTCGACGCCGACGTAGCCGAGCGGCGTCGGGCTCGCGAACCGGTTCTTGAGGCGGACGAGCTCCCAGTCCCCCAGCGCGTCGAGGGCCGACAGCAGACGGTCGGGCGTTTTGAAGCATAGTGTGAACCGCGCGACGTCGCAGAGCCGCGCGAAATCGCCGTCGTAGTCCTCGGCGGCCTGCTCCCGGACTTTGGCCACGCTCTTGACCCCGGCGTCGTCGGCGCGGTCGACGAAGGCGCGCTTGCCTCCCAGGGCGGACCTCCGGGATCCCTCGGACCAGTCGTCGGCGAGGGCCTCGGCGACGATCGTCCGGGCCCGGGCCGCGTCCTCGAGGAGCGCGTCGACGCTCGCGGCGACCTGGCTCACGAGCGTCGGCCGGAGCTCCTCGAGTCGCGCGAGCGCGTCGTAGCCGGGCTGGAGTTTCACGGCCTCCACGACGTCGGCGTACGCGCGCTTGATCGCGCGGACGTTGTCTCCGAGGTCCGCGAGCGTCCCCCGGACGGCGACGCCCGGGAAGCGCCGCTCCGCGTCTCGCTCGACGGCCTCGAGGCTCAGGTCATCGTCGACCGTGCCGCGCGCGCAGGCGGCGAGGAACGTGCGGAGGTCCTCGTCGTGGCGCGGGTCGTCGGGCTTCAGCTCGAGCTTCTCGACGAGGCCCGGCCGCGTCCGTCGCTTCAAGGCCCGGACGATCGACGGCTCCTCGCGCGAGCTCGCGCAGACCCGCACCCAGTCGGGGAGCTCGAGGTCGGGGTCGCTCAGCATCTGCGAGGGGAGGAGGGCGGTTTCGCTTTGCGGAGTCGTCGTTCGAAACGCGGGAGCGCGCGGCGACGACGTCGCGGCGCGCGGCGCCGGCGAGCTCGTCGAGGCCGTCGACGAAGATCACGGCCGGCCTTCGCGCCGAGAACCCCGCCGCCGCGCCGTCCGTCGCGTGGAGCGGCCCGGCCACGAGCGACGCGTAGAGGGCGCCGGCGTCGGCGTCGCCGCCGACGCCCTCGGGTCGTTCGCGGAAGCCGGCCGCGAGCGCGTCGCCGAAGCCGGCGACGCGCTGGCACAGCATGGCCGCGAGGGACCGCACGAGCGTGGGCGGCGCGCTCGACGCCGGGTCGGCGTGGTGGCAGAAATGCCACGCGACGCATCGACGCGACTCCGCGCAGCGTCGGAGCAAGAGGGACAGCGCGACGGATTTGCCCGTCCCCGCGGCTCCGGCGATCCAGAAGAGCCGCGACTCGTCCAGAGCCGACTCGAGGAACCAGGCCTCGAAGGTCGCCGCGACCCATTCCCGGGTCCCGTCGAGGTGCGCGTCGAGGTGCCTGCGGACCGTCCTCTCGAACTCCAAGGGCCGCAGCGGCCCGACGCCGGAGCCCGGGTCCACGTCGCCGCACCGCGGCAGCACGCGATCGCTCTCGTAGGCCGGCGGGCCGGCGACGGAGCGTTCGAAGCCCGGTTGGCTCAGCGCGGCGACGCCCCTTTCCGCCTTGGCCCAGAGCCGCTCCGCCTTGGCCCGCGACACCGTCTTCGGCTCCGCCACGGCGCCATCGCCACCGACGAAGTAGGTCTGCTCCCACGCGTCCACCCAGCTCTCCGACGGCACCAACGCCTTGGCATCGTCCAGCGACAGGCGCTCCGGGATGCTGGCACCGGAGCCCATCAAGATTAGACGCTGCCCATTGCGAGGGCGCTGGGGGAGAGGGTCAAACAAGCCGTTGCTGACAAGAGGCCGGCAGCGAACCACCCCACGACACCAAGCACCACTAACCAACTACCCCTGAGTCGCGACTTGCTCAAAATGAGTGGTCAAAACAGCTGCAACATGGGGTCAACGAAGCCTGTGAACCACCCGTTCTGGCCGATCGGCAGCTGGAGGGCTGCTCGGCCATGACCTCCACACGGTCGAAATTTATGATCGAGCGTCAAAACCACCAGTTTGCTCAAGCTCGAGATCAAAACTGGTCGATAGAGCCAAAACAAGCATAATTCCGGTGGATTCGAGTGGTCTCCAGCGGCCCCAGGGGTACCACCCCCACCACCACCACCACTACCTCACCCCATTTACAGACCACTCATCTCAGATCAGCATGACAGTGGTTAAGGTTGTCTGTGCATACCTCTTGGTTGCTGAATGAGTGTTGAAGCCTGCTCGCCGCTTTGCGCGAGGTGGGAGAGGCGAAAGGCATCTTTGCCGCGCGCCATCGCTGCAGCATGAGCGCCATGGAAAGCGTCGTGTCGGTGCGCGTCGTCGGGCCCGAGGTGGAGCGCGCAAAACTCGCCGCGACGCTCCTCGCCTACGAATCCCTCGTGGCGCGGCGCGTCGCCGGCGAGGGCGAGAAAGCCTGCACCGTGGGCGGCGACGCCTGGGAGGACGTGGGATCCCGCGCGACGTTGGTGCTCGGCGAGACCAAGTACCGGGGTCCCGTGCGCGCGGAGCTGCGGCTCAGCGCGGGCGCGGCGACGCCGCCCGAGAGCAACTGCCACGGCGTCGTGCTCGTCGTGTCCGGCGCCGCCGAGGCCTGGGCGGACCGCTGGTGCGCGGCCGCGGACCGCTGCGACTGCTGCGTGCGCCTCGTCGTGGGCGTCGGCGGGTCGCCCTTCGACGAGGCCGTGGCGGCGTGGGCCATCGACAAAGGCTTCGAGTACGTGTCGGGCGTCGACGTCGAGCGGCCGACGCTCGGGTACGACGCGCGCGACAAGGACGGCGTGCCGCGCGCGTTCGAGGCGCTCGCCGAGGCGACGTGGCCGGCGACGAAGGCCCAGCAGGGCGCCGCGCCGGAGGCGACGGCGCGGGCCGCGTCGCGCTCCGCGCCGGTCGTCGCCGTCTTCGGCGAGCCCGCGGCCGCGACGCGGTGCTTCAACGCGCTCGCGCTCCGCGCGGGCGGCGACGCGCCGACGACGGGCGACCGCGACATCGTCGACCTCGTGATCTCGACCAAGTACTACGAGACGACGGTCGCGCTGCCGCGGCCCGCGTCGGACGCCGTCGCGCGGGGCCCCGTCGAGGCGCTCGTCTGCGCCGTCGACGCCGCGTGGACGCGCGACGTCCTCGAGGCGAAGTGGGCGGCCATGGAGGGGCCAAACGTCCAGACGCGCCTCGCCGTCGCGAGCCACATGCCCGAGTGGCTCCTCCTCTGGGCCGTCGACCGCAGCGTCGAGGTCGTCAACGCCGACGCCGTCGGCTCGCGCGTGCTCGAGGCCCTCGAGGCGACCATGTGGTCGAGCATCGACGCACCGAAATCCGTCGAAGCGCCGGAGCGGACGCCCGCCGCGGCGCCGGAGCGCACGTCGGAGCCCGCGCCGAGCCCGGCCGCGGCGCCCGCGCCGGAGCGCGCGTCGGAGCCCGCGCCGAGCCCGGCCGCGGCGCCGGCGCCGCCGCAAGAGGAGGAGGAGGACGACGACGACGATCTCGGCGGCATCGGGGGACTCGGCGACATCGGGGACATCATCGCGGCGATCCACAGCGGCCCCCGGCCCGAAGACCTCAGCGACGCGCAGCGACGCAAACGAGCCGCCGACATGGCGCTGCGTCTGATGGACACGCTCGGCATCTCCGACGACGACGATAGCGACTAGCGTGGTTAAAGTGGTGTGGAGAGCGCCAGGCTTCTAACGACCTGTAGTCGGGCCCTGAAGAGCGTCGGCCTTCGCCTTGATAACGCGGCGCGCTGAGGGCGTCGCTGAGCGCGCTAGTCGAAACTGAACATTTCCAGCTTCTTCTTGAGCTCCATATTCTCTGATTCCACCTCTGCCGCGCGATCTTTGCACTCACAGAGGACGCGATGCGTTTCGCTCCATTTCATCTGGCTCAAAAAGATCAGGTTTTTGTAAGTGCTTTTGTGCCAGCTCTGGTTTTCGCGCTGGGCCAGTTTCTGGTTTTTATCGTGAAGCTCGCGGATCTGCGTTTCTAGACTCTCATTTTTGTCCTTGAGAGCGCGGTATTCTTCGTCACGTTCGATGAGTTTCTCGTGAAAGAGCCGGCCCAGCTTGCATGCGCGTTCCGGATGCACGACTCCTTCCGCGTAGCTGAAGTCCATTTTATCCAAATCTGCCTGCTTGACGTGGTCGATGCAGCCCGGCGGCTTGACCCACGTCGTCTTCCCGGAGCCCGCGTGGTGATAGAAGGGCCTGCCCGTTTTCTTGTCCGTGTGCATGATCCAGCCCGGCGCGACTTCCTTCATCTTGAGCCACGGCACGCGATAGACGACCGGCGCGTCCGGCGCGATCTCGGATGAGACCGGCGACGCTTCCGTGGGCGAGTCCGCCGAGGGCCGCTTCGCCGGCGGGGGCGGCGGCAAGTTTTCCCGCGCCGCATTGGCGCTCTTGAACTCTCCAAAAACGCGACTGACCTTGGGCTGCTGCTGGTTGCTCTCCTCGGCGGCTGTGTCGTTCTTCGCTGTGGAGTTCTCTTTGGCCAACTGTTCTTCGGTGAGGACCAACACTCCAACCTTGCTCTTACCCCATTTGTATTTTTCCTGCTTGGTCGTCGTCAGGAGACACGGACTATCATTGCCCGCCATGCTGGCATGCAATCCAACTGCCAGTGCTGGGCTGCCAAAAAACACGGAAATGCAAACCAGTCACTTCGCAGACAAAGACACCAAAAAACCTTGCTCGCGGGCGCTAGGCCGAGCTTGCGTCTGTAACTTGAAGGTGCCGACGACCGTCCCCTTCCGCCATTTCCCGTGCTGGGCGGCGGGAGGCGCGCCGGCGACAAAGCCCGAGCACCCAGGACCCCCCCGCGGCGACGCCCCCACCGTTACGAAGGCGCGGATTAGCCGCTTTCGGCGGCGGCCGCCGCGTCGAGCGCGGCGAGCGCGCGGTCCGGGTAGGACTTGTTCCGCTCGTTCGTGATGCTCTCCCGGGCCCGCTCGACGGCGCCGCGGAGCCCCGCGGCTTCGAGGGCCGCGGCGTGGGCGGCGCCGGCCAGCGCGACGGCCTCGACGGCGAGGCAGCCCTGCTCCTGGAGCGTGGCCTCGCCGTCCGAATGCTCGTCGAGCGCCGCGCGTATCGCGGGCGCCGCGGCGGCGATGGCGCCGGGCGCCGCGGGCGCGAGGCGCCGCGCGCAGCTCAGGAGCACCTCCACGACCGACGGCTCCTCGACGAAGGCGCCGAGCGCGGCCGCGACGGCGGCCGCGGCGGCGTCCGCGGCCGCGACCGGCCGCGCCGCGACGCGGTTGAGCGCGTCCGCCGCGGCCTCGCCGGCGACCTCCCACGCTTCCCGGGCGCTCTTGGCCAGCACCGCGGCCAGCGCCGCCGCGTCCTCGGCCTGCTCTAGGGCCTCGACGGCCGCCTCGAGCTCGTCCTCGTCGTCGATGTCGTCGAACCGCGACGCCGCGGCCGCCGCCGGCGTCGCGGCGTCCGGCGGCGGCGTTTCGGCGTCCGGCGGCGGCGGCGGCGCGGCCTCCTCCGGCGGCGTTGCGGCGTCCGGCGGCGGCGGCGCTGCGGCGTCCGGCGTCGGCGGCGCGCCGCCCGCGGCGTCGGCGGCGGCGCCCGGCCCGAGCTCGTAGAGGTAGAGCGGCCACGCCGCGCTCGGCTGGTGCGCGGGCGTGCACGTCGCCTTCTTCGCCGGCGGGCCGACGCCGGGCAGGGGCGCCATGTAGCTGACGACGCGGAGCGGCCGCGACCGCGCGACCTCGAGGAGCCTCGGCGCGATCAATCGCAGACCCCGCGGGATGAGGTAGAGGAAGACGGCCGTCGCGCCGGACAGGTCGACCTCGAGGCCGTTACCGACGACGACCGTGGCCCCGTCGGAGACGCCCGCCGCCTCCACGGCCGCGCGCGCCTCCGCGGCGCGCGCCGCGTCGATCTCGACGCCGACGCAGGTGGCGCCGCGCTTCGCCGCCTCGACGAGGAAGCGGCCGTCGCCGCAGCCCACGTCGTAGACCGTGTCCGCAGAGGTGAGTCGCAGCAGGTCGCAGGCCACGGCGACGCCCTCGCCGGGTGTGGACCAGAGCGTGTCGCGCGGCGCGAGCATCGTTGCTTGTGGCGAGCAGATCAAATGTCACGGTTGCACTTCACGTTGCCGGAAACGACCCGTGGGTCCCCGAGCCTCATCGCGCGGCCATTTCTAGCCGCAAACGCCGCCGGGGAACGTCGAAAAGTACCCTCGCCTTAGTCCTCCTTGGCGCGCAGGAGGCGGGCGGCGTCGCGGAAGAAGGCGCGGTCGCGCGCGAGGCCCGCGAGGACGACCAAACCCCCCGCGACGCCGACGCCGACGTGGGGCGCGGCGTCGGCGAGCGCGTGCGCCGGCCCGCTCGCGCGCAGGAGCGCCGCGCCGGACCGGCGCGCCGCGAAGCCCGCGGCGGCGAACGCGGCGACCGCGCCCGCGTCCGGCGCCGCGGCGGCCGCGAGCGCGCCGCGCGCGGGGCCGAGGTGCCGCGCCGCGAGCGCGCCGCAGAACACCCCCCGCGCGGCCATGGCCGCCGCCGCGGCGTAGACGAGGCCCACGGTGCCCGCGGCGCGGAGCGCGGGCCCCGCGAGCGCCGCGAAGAGGACCGCGCACGCGCCGTGCGCCGCCGCGAGCGCCCGGAGCTCGGCGGCGCCGCCCGCGGCGTGCGCGAAGGCCTCGGCGACGCCGTTCAAAGCGAGGAACGGCACGTACGAACAGTAGGCGGCGAGCACGGCGCCGCACTGCTCGAGGTCCGCAGCGTCGGCGCCCGCGCCCCGCAGCAGCCGCACGGCGAGGGGCGCGAACGGCGCGCCGAGGGCCGCGAAGAGCAACCCGAGGTAGGCCATGCAGCGCAGCAGCGACCCCAGCAGCCGCGCGGCGCGCGGGCCGTCGCGGCCCCGCGTGTCGAGCTTCGCGAAGGCCAGCCGCGCGGCCTCCTCCGTCGGCTGGAGGAAGAGGCGCGCGACGATCGCGCCGTAGTTTTGCGCGAAGGCGTAGAGACCCGCGTCGCGCGCGGTCGCGAGAACGGCGAGCGCGACGCGGTCGCACTCCGTGAGCGCGTGCTTGAGCACGGACTGGGCCGTGAAGCCCAGGGCCGCCCGCGCCAAGGGCGCGTCGAGGCCCGCGGCCGGCGACGGCAAAAGGTCCGCCGCGGCCTCGGGCGTCTTTCGCGCCACGAGGGCCCAGGCCGCGGCGCGCGACGCGCCGAGCGCGGCGGCGTAGGCGACCTGGCCCCAGCCAAAGGCCGCGGCGCCGAGGCCCGGCGACGACCGCAGCAGCGCGAGCGTCGCCGCGCCGCGCGCGAGCGTCGCCGCGGGCTCGGCGACGGCGCGCGGCGCGGCGACGAGGCGCGCCTGCGCGAGCGCGTGGAGCGGCTCGCTCGCGCTCTCCAGCGCCGCCGCCGCGCAATAAAGTAAGAAAGCCTCGCCGCCGCGGTGCGCGCTGGCCCTGGCGGCGCCCGCGCCGAGCAGCGCGCAGCCGAGCGCGAGCGCCGCGCCGGCGACGGCCGCGCAGTACGCGCAGTTCGTCACGCGGCGCCGCGCGGCGCCGTCGGCGACGGCCGCGGGCGACCGCGCGAGCGCCAGGCGGAAGCCCTCGCGCGACACGAACAGGATCGTGTTCAGCACGAGCTCGAGGCGCACGGACGCGACGCCCAGCAGCTCCGGCGACGCGACGCGCAGCAGGCACTGGTTCAGGACGATGCTCGCGACCTTCTGGACCGCGAGGCCCAAAGCGACGAAGCGCGCGCCGCCGAAGGCCCGGCCGATGACGTCCGGGTCCGCGGCCATGGCGGGCGGCCGCGGCGCGGCGTCGGAGGCTGCGGCGGGCGGCTGAGAGGCTGCGGCAGCGTTCGGCGAGCGAGCTGTGGTTGCCTGCAAGTGGACGGCGGGTTGATGCCTCCGCGGATGTGCGCGCGCATTGACTGCTGCTAGACGCGCGCTCAGCCTCATCGAATCCTCGCGCGCCGTCGCGAGCTTCGAGCCCCTGTGGACCAGCACCACTTCGCACCGTCGCAAAAAAAGCGGACGGGCGCGAACGCGAAACGACCGCCATGCCGCGCTGTACGAACTGCGGCGAGGAGGGCCACAATTCGCGCTCGTGCACGAATCCGACGCTCGTGCGCGCGCGGCCGGAGCCGAAGCCCCACTCGGGCACGGGACCCATCCACACCTGCCGCATCTGCGGCCAGTACGGCCACAACGCGCGCACGTGCCCCGCGAAGCAAGCCGGCGGCGACGCCGCCGGCGACGCCGCCGGCGCGCCGCCGACGGCCGCCGCCGCGGCGCCGCGCGCGCCGCCGCGGCGCTATCCCGTGGTCGCGCGCGGCGGCGAGCTCCGGCACCTGAGCTTCAACTTCGTCCCCGCGCACGTGGACCGGGCCGCGCCCATCGTCGTCGCGCCCGCGGCCGGCGGCGGCTTCGACGTGACGCGCGCGAGCGAATCCGGCGGCACCGCGGCGTTCCGGGGCCAGCGCGGGCCCGCGTCCGCGCTGGACTACGCGCTCGTCCTCCGCGACGGCGGCTACGAGCTCCGCCGCGTCGCGTCGTCCGTCGTCAAGATCACGCACGTCCGCGGCGACGACGACGACGCGGGGGCCGCGAAGCCGCCGCCCAAAAAGAAGCGCGTCGCGCCGAAGCGCGCCAAGCCCGCGCCCGCGGCGCCGCCCGCGACGCTCGCCTACGAGCGCGCCGACGCCGCGCCCCGCGACAAGGACGACCTCGTCTGCCGGCCGAGGACGCGCCTCCGCGCGCGCGCGCGGTCGCCGTCGTCCGACGGCGCCGAGCCCGCGCTGACGCTTAGCCTATAGCGCGGCCGTCGCCTCGATCTCGAGCGCCAGGCCGTAGTGCAGGTGGGGCACGGGCACGACGGCCCGCGCGGGCTTGTGGTCCTCGCAGAAGCGCGCGTACATGGCGTTGAACGCGGGCCAGTTGTCGATGTCCGCGATGTAGACGCGGACCTACCGCGGCGACGAGTCTCGTTCCCCGGGGGTCGGCGCGCGCCGGTTTTTGTCCCCCGAGCTCTCAAAAAGTCGCGGCCGCGGGACGCCGGCCCGGACCGACACGAGCTGCTTCGGCGACGCGCCGGCCGCCTCGAGCACCGCGCGCAGGTTCTGCAGCGCGGCCGTCGCCTGGACCTCGAAGCTCTTGCCCGCGAGCTTCGTGCCTGGTGTTTCGTCGTTGCTCCATCGCCGCGGCCGCGGGACGCCGCGTCGCGACCGTCGGGCATCACGGGGAGGAGGCCGCTCACGTAGAGCGTGTCGTCGTAGATCGTCGCCTGCGAGTAGTGGCCGGCGGGCGGGCAGGCCTCGTCGGTGAACAGCGTCTCGATGCGGCGCTTCTTTCGGGCGAAGAGCAGCGCGACGAGCACGCCGCCGGCGGCGAGCCCCGCGGCGAAGGCCGCCCTGGGCGGCGGGCCCATGGCTTGACAGTGGACCAGGGCAGCCTCTGCGAGCAGCCCAGGGAGCAGCCGAACACGGCCACAGTCTGGCACAGAGACGGCGCACTGTGCGGCGGTTTCGTCGCCGGGGGTCGGCGCCGCGCGACTCGCGAGGCCAGGGGAGCGATCCGACCACAAGTAGCGACATAAAGGCGCGCTACTTTAAATTTTTTTTCTGCTGGCCGAAGGCCAGCCCTCCTGAGACCTCCTGCTGGCCGAAGGCCAGCCGATTTTTTTTGCTATGTTTCGGTGGCTGGTCTTCAAAACAAGGTTTTTTGTTGGTATTTTTATTGATTTATTTTGCGGCCGAGGCGGCAGGCGCGCTACTTTTTATTTTAGATCTCTGCCCTGCTCGGCCGCGCCCTAGGCCTTGGTCTCGTAGTGGTCCGAGATCATGGTGTCCTTGACGATACCATAGACGGCGAGCCAGGCCTCCTTGACCTCCGGCGTCAGCTGCGGTCCGAGAGCGTCGCCGAGCGTCGCGATCAACGCCTGGCCGACGACGTCGTAGTGCGGCGGGAGCACCTGCGGTGGAGGCGATGTGTGTGGCTGCCTGCGGCGCGGCGTCGCGCGCGGCCGGTCGCTCAGTCGTGGACGCGGGCGACGCGCCCCGTAGCCGACGTGGCGCTTGCCGAGGCCCTTGAGCACGGGCACGAGCGCGTCGAGGTCCGTGAGGCCCTCGACGGCCGTGTTCACGGTCATGACGACGTTCGCGCCGTGCTTCTTGAGGTAGAGGTTGTTGTACAAATCCTCGTCGGACTGCTTGCCCTTGGCGAACGAGAAGAGGCCCTTGGCCTCGGGCGCGATATCGAAAATGTGGCGGAAGAGGATGACGCCGGCCGTCTCCGCGTCGACGGCGCCGAGGACGATCTTCCACGAAGTCTGGACGAGTTCCACTGTCTTCGCGAGATCACCCATGGTTTTGCCTGCGAGGCGCGGCGGTCGGTCGAAGCCGCGACGCGTTCGCGCGACGCGAAGCGGCGCCGGCCGGTCGAGCGAAATTTGGCGCGTATCCGCGCGATGATCGGTCGACGATCGCGCGGCCGCGAACCCTACGCGAATGTCGCCGGCTTGGCGTGGCAAGTCGGTTGCCTTGGATTTGTGAGCGATCGACAACTCCTCATATTTTTATGCACTCGTCCTCGTCTAGCGATTGCGATTTCCTCATGATGACAGGCTTGGCATCCGTGGGAAACGTCACAAGACGCTGACGGCACCGGTAGAGTTGATTTTGCGTAGTGCAGCTCGGCTGCGCGAAGTGAACAATCCAGTCCAAAACTTTCGATGTGGCGATTCTCCACCAACTTCTAACACGGCGCAGCAAGTGCCTTACGCCATCCGCTTCGCGTTCTTGACGCCCTTGTCCTTGCGGCCGGAGCCGCCGTGGAGCTTGCCGCCGATCTTCTTCTTCTTCTCGTCCGCGGCGAGCGCGTCGAGGTCGACGAAGCGCGCCTTGCCGATCTTCGCGCCGCCCGCGACGTAGCGGTTCTCGACGCGGTCCCGGAGGTCGTCGCGCGCGTCCATGTAGGAGGCGTAGTCGCCGTCGAAGCGGCTCATGGCGCGGTTTTCTATCGTGAAGATCGTGTTCGCGACTTGACTCACAAAGTAGCGGTCGTGCGACACCACCACGACCGTGCCGTCGAAGTGGCGCAGCGCGTCCTCGAGCATCTCCTTGGCGGGGATGTCCAGATGGTTCGTCGGCTCGTCGAGGAAGAGCACGTTCGCGGGCACGAGCATCATGCAGCAGAGCGCGACGCGCGCCTTCTCGCCGCCGGACAAACTCTCCAATTTCTTGTGGACGTCGTCGCCCTTGAAGAGGAACTGGCCCAACAGCGCCCGCAGCTCGTTGTAGGACTTCTCGGCACCCAAAGCCGACGCGTCCTCGATGGTCTGGATCACGGTCTTCGAGAGGTCGAGCGCGTCGGCCTGGTTCTGCGCGAAGTAGTGCGCCTTGACGTTCGCGGACCCTTTCGCCACCTCGCCGCCGCGGCTCGCCTCGCGGTCCGCGATGACGCGGAGCAGCGTGCTCTTGCCCGCGCCGTTCGCGCCGAGCACGGCGACGCGGTCGCGCTTCCGCAGCTCGAAGGACACGCCCGAGAAGAGTTGTTGGTCGCCGTAGCCGTGCGCGACGTCGTCGCAGGACAGGATGTCGACGCCGCAGCGCGGCGGCTCGGGGAAGCGGAAGCGCAGCCCCTTCTTGTCCTGGGGCGGCCGCGCGACGACGTCCGGGGACGCGAGGAGCTTGTCGAGCTGCTTCTGCCGGCTCTGGGCCTGCGACGCCTTCGAGCCCGCGCGGTTCTTGTTGATGAAGTTGCGGTCCTCCTGGATCTTCGACTGCTGGCGCTTGTAGGCCGCCTCCCACTGCTTGAGGCGCTCGCGCTTCGCCTTGAGGAACTTCGAGTAGTTGCCGTCGTAGGACGTGCAGACGCCCTGGTCCGTGTCGACGATGCGCGAGCAGACCTGGTCTAAGAACTCGCGGTCGTGGGAGACGATGACCATGGCCAGCGTCTGCTCGCGGAGGAAGGCCTCGAGCCACTCGACGGACTCGAGGTCCAGGTGGTTCGTCGGCTCGTCCAAGAGGAGCACGTCCGGCTTCTCCAGCAGCACCTTCGCGAGGCCGACGCGCATCTTCCAGCCGCCGCTGAAGGACCCGACGAGCGCGTCGAGGTCGTCGTCGCCGAAGCCCATCTGGATCGCGACCTTCTCCGCGCGGCCCTCGATGGCGTAGGCGTCGAGCTCGCCCGCGCGCTCCGAGAGCCGCTCGAACTCCTCGAGCGCGCCCGCCTCGCCCGCGGCGAGTTTGGCCTCCATGGCGTCGAGGTCCGCGAGCACGGCCGCCTCCTCGACGAAGACGGACGCGAGCTCCTCGCGGAGCGTCCGCGCGAGGTCGAGGCTCTCCGAGAACTCCTGCCGCAGGTACGCGATCTTCACGTCCGCGCGGCTCAGGACGACGTCGCCGCCCGCCGGCTCGAGCTCGCCCGCGAGGACCTTGAGCTGCGTCGTCTTGCCGCCGCCGTTCGCGCCGACGAGGCCGACGCGGTCGCCCGTGTTCACGCCCCACGTCGCGTCCTTGAGGACCTCCGTGTTCTTGAAGACGACGCTGATCCCCTCGAGGCGCACGCCCGCGGCGCCGGAGCCGGACCGCTCGATGACGCGCACCTTGGCCGAGCCGCGCTCGCGCTTCCGCCGCTCCTCGAGCGTCAGGCCGTCGTCCGCGTCCGCGGCGGCCGTCGGCGCCGCGAACGCCTCCTCCTCCTCCGCCGCGTCCTCGGCGACGGCCTCCTTCTTGCCCTTCTTGCCCTTCTTCTCCTTCTTCTCCTTCTTCTTCTTCGTCTTGCGCATGACGACGTCCTCCTCGAAGTCGTCGAAGTCGTCCAGCGCCGCCAGCAAGGCGGCCTTCTTCGCCTCCTTCGGCGACAGCTTCGCGGGCGCCTCGGCGGGCGCCTCGGCGACGGCGGGCGCCTCGGCGACGGCGGGCGCCTCGGCGACGACGGGCTCGGGCGCCTCCGCGGCCGCCGGCGCCTCCGCGGCCTGCTTCTCCTTCTTCGCCGGAAGCGCCTCGACGGCCTCGACGGCCGGCGCCTCCGCGGACTCGAGCGCCTCGAGCGCCTCGAGCGCTTCGAGCGCGGCCGCGCCCGCCGCGCCGCCCTTCTTGGCCTTCTTGGCCTTCTTGGCCTTCTTGGGCGGCGCCGGCGCCTCGGGCTCCGCGACGGCGACGGGCGCCTCCGTCGCCTCGAGCGCCTCGAGCGCCGCGAGCGCCTCGGCGGCCGCCGCGCCGGCGGCGCCGCCGGGGCCCTTCTTCGCTTTCTTCGCGAGCAGCGCGACGCTGGTCCGCGGCGGCGCGACGCGCGGCGGCCCGGCGAAGAACGCGCTCCCGACGGTGAGCGTCAGGAGCACCGCTATTCTTCGCATGGTCCCTCTGCGCTGGTTCGCCCAGCCCATTGCGTATGCAAGTGCTCCGTGCGAGGTTCAACATTCAACTTGAAGTCCTTGTTGAGCCTCGCCTCGGCCGGCTTAAGCGCCGGCGGCCACACCTCCGTGCCCCTCCCGCCGCCGCTAGCGACCCCACGGGCCTCGCCTCTTACACCATGTGGGCCTTCTCCATGGTGTCGTGCATGGCCTGCATCTTCTCCATCTCCTCGAGGAACCCCGGCGACGCGAGGTCGCGCGCGTGCTGGAGCCCCTCGTCCGCGGCGCCGACGCCGCCGCGCCGTCCGGCGCGCGACGACGCCGCGACGTTCTTCAGGCCGAGGCCCGCCATGTACTGCTCCGTGACCTTGGTGCGGTAGGCCTCGAGCTGGCGGTTGAACTCGGCGAGGAGCGGCCCGTGCTTCGGGTCCTTGAGCACGTCGCAGAGCGCCTCGCCCGTGAGCGGCGCGCCCGTGTTCAGCGCGGGCGTCCGCGCGACGAGCGCCTCGACGCGCGCGGCGTCGTCGCGGCTCACGGCGCAGGCGCAGAGGAGCTCGCGGACCTCCGCGGGCTGGACGCCGTCGCGCTCCGGGTCGTAGGCCTCCGCGATGGACCGGAGCAGCGGGCACACGTGGCGCGCCGTCTTCGACGCGACGCGGTCCCGCGGGTCGAGCGTCAGCGACGACGCGCCGGACCGGTGCGCGGCCATGAGCGCCGCGGCGACGGCGCCGCAGCGCACGCGGTCGACGCCCCGGGGGTCCAGGCTCGAGAAGAAGACGTGCGCGTCCCGCGCCGAGAACCCGCGCAGCGCGCCGAGGTAGGCGACGACGAACTGCGCGCGCGACAGCACGGACGGGTCCGGGTTCTCGCCCGCGGTCGCCCGCAGCAGCTCCGCGAGCTCGAGGATGCGGCTGTGGCCCGGCGCCCGGTTCTCGCCCGACGCGAGCGTCACGAGGGACTTGGCGACGATCTCCGCGCGGATGCCGTAGCGCTTCCGCTCGCGCGCGCCGAGGTCCGCGATCGCGTCCGCGATGGCGACCGGCGCGGCCGCGAGCGCGCTCGTCGGCGCCGCGTGCGCGTCGACGAAGGACGGCTGCGTCAGCACGAGGAAGGACCCGCAGCGCCTCGGCGGCTTCGCGCCGCCGCGGCCGCGCAGCGCGCTCGGCGCCGCGCCGGAGCCCGCGCGGTAGACGTGCCTTCGGAACGCCGTCGGCCCCGACGGCGCCGCGCCGGCCGTCGCCGCGCGCCGGAGGAGCGTCGCCCGCTCCACGGCGGCGCGGGGCACCTTGGCGGGGTGGTCCGCGCGCCGCGCGCGCGCCGACCGCCGCGCCTCGGAGCCCTGGAGCCAGTCCGCGTGCCGCAGGACCTGCTCTCTCCGTTTATCGAGCGCCGCGGCCGCCATGCGGCTCGCGCGCCGCTCGACGCGCTCCTCGGCGCGCCGCGCGCCGCGCACGCGCCGCGCGAGGTGCTCGAGCTCGCTCGGCGGCCGGGCGAGGACCGCGTCCGCGGTCGTCTCGCGCGCGAACGACGCGCCGCCGGAGGCCGCCGCTCGCCGGCCGGACGCGCCCGGGTCGTAGGACTTTTCGTAGCCGCTCACGAAGGTCGCCGACTCGGGCCAGAGCCGCGGCGCCGTGCGGAACGTCGTCGCGTCGTCGCCCGTCGGCCGAGCTTCGGACGAGCCGTGCGTGTAGCCGAGTTTCGGGGTGAACTCGTCGACGCGGACGCCGAGCAGCTCGTCGACGCGCCGCAGGGGCGCCTCGTAGACGTCGATGAGCCGCGTCGTGCCGCCGGCGACGTTGTGCGCCGCGACGCCGTCGCGCTTGTTCGGGTCCCGGAAGGCGCCGGCGCCGCGCCACACGCGCGGCTCGCCGGCCTTCTCCATGGAGCTCCGCGTCCCCGCGACGGAGAACTTGGCGTCCCAGCGGTGCGAGCGGTTGCCCGCCGTGCTGCCGAAGCCCACCATGGCCCCGCGGAGGTGCGCTATGAGCCGGGGATTGCCATCACGCGGGCAGCGTTGCCCAAGGGGTAACATGAACCTGAGCCAGACGTTGACGTTCGAACGAGGCCTCGAGGGATGGAGAATCGATTCGCGGCGTAGCGCAGCGCCTGCAATGCCGCGCGCTTTGCTTTGCGTCGCCGCGCTCGCCGCCGCCGCCGACGGCCTGTCCTGGCTGCTCGACGGCTTCCGGAGCGACGCACCGTCCCACGACGCCGCGACCCAGGCTATTGCGCTGCGGTCCGCGCTCCGCGACGCGGGCTACACGGCGCCGAACCTGCGGCGACGCCTCCTGCGCGGCACGCCCGCCGCCGACGCGCTGCTCCCCACGGCGCTCCTGCGCCGCGACGGCGGCCGCGGCGCCGCGCCGGCCGGCGGCGACGGCCTCGACGCGCTAACCGCGCTCTTCGCGCTCGGGCTCCCCGTGGACGCGCGGAGCCTGCCCGCGACCTGCGTCGAGGCCGTCGCGCCCGTCTGCGTCGAGGCCGGCGGCCTGCTCCGGTCGCGCGCGATGCTCGCGCCCGTCGACGCGCGCGGCCGCGAGCTGCTCGTGGCGACGGACTGGCCCCCGGAGCACGGCGCCTGCCGCGCGGGCGGCGAGGAGGCCTGCATGTACCTGGGCCCGGACTCGGCCGCGCTCGCGGACCTCGGCGCCGCCGTCGCGGCCGCGGCGGCGCCGAAACGCGTCGTCGACCTCTGCGCGGGCTCCGGCGTGCAGGGCCTCGCCGCCGCCGCCGCCGGCGCGCGGCCGACCTGGGTCGAGCGGGAGCCGCGCGCGGCGGCCTTCTGCCGCTGGAACGCGGCGGCGAACGGCGCGCCGGGCGACGTCCGCGTCGGGGCCGTCGCGGACGCGGACGCGGCGGGCGGCGCGGACCTCGTGCTGGCGAACCCGCCGTACGTCGCCGCGCCGCCGTCCGCGAACTACGACGCCTTCGCGGACGGCGGGCCCGACGGCTACGACGTCGTCGTCGACTGCGCGGCCTTCGCGGCGCGCGCGCTCTCTGACGACGGGGTCTTCGCGGCCGTGCTCGAGCTCAACGGGCCGGCCGACGCGCTCTTCGACCGCGTGTCGCGCGCGTGGGGCGACCGCGGCGGCGTCGCGGCGCTCCTCCACGACGCGCCGTCGGCGCGGACGGCCGCGGCGGCCGCGGCGGACCGCCGCGCGGCCGGCGACGGCGCCTGGGCGGCGAACTACGCGGCGAACGGCGTCGACCACGTCGCGAACGCGGTCCTCGTCGTCAGACGCGCGCCGGGCGGCGGCGGCCTGCGCTGCGCGGCGACGGCCGTGCCGCGCGGCGCCTGGGCGCCGCCGCCGACGAACGGCGCCGCGCGCGCCTGGCTCGCCGGCGTCCTAAGGCCCGGGCCCTAGGTTCGAGCGCGAGTGCCCGTGGCGGGGCCCTAGACGTCGAGGGACGACGTGTCCCGCCGCTTGCGCCGGCCCGCGCGGCCGCCGTCCTGGGGCCGCGCGGCGGCGAAGGGGTTGAGCGCCTCGTCGGCGGCGACGGGCGGCGCGGGCCGCGGCGGCGGCGGCGGCGGCGCGTCGGCCGGCGCCGCGGCGGCGCGGCGCCGCGCGGACGCGCGGCCCGCGACGAACGTCAGCGCCGCCGCGGCGACGACGGCCAGCGTCTCCCACGGCACCTCCTCCTCCGGGTCCGCCGGTTCCGGGTCCGCCGGTTCCGGGTCCCGTTCCGGGTCCGCCTCGGGCGCCTCCGGCGCCGCGGGCTCCGGCTCCGGCGGCGGCGCGACCGGCGGCGGCGGCGGCGGCGCGGCGGGCCTGACGGCGAACGCCGCGCGGTTCCTCAGCAGCGCGAAGTTGCGGAAGAGGTGCTGGTGGCCCGCGTGGCTCGACACGAGGGCGTCGAGCTCGGCCTTGAACTCGCCGGCCGTGGCCCGCCGCCCCCGGTCCTGGTGCTTGACGAGGTCGCCCTTGACGATTTTTTGCGCGACGGCCTCCTCGTAGACGATCTCCCACTCGTCGGGGTGGGCGCGCGCGTAGTCGAGCATCATGGTCGTCTTGAAGTCCGTGTCGTCGAGGGCGACCCAGCGCACGTGGCCGCAGTGGGACCGGATGATCTCCCATTCCGCCCAGCCCGTGAACGCGCCGCCGTCGACGTTCATGACGCCGAAGCGCCGGGAGGCGCAGAGCGCGCCGAGGACGCCGACCTCGTGGGTCGTCGCGGCGAACCTCTCGTGGGCGAGCCACTCCTTGGAGTCGGGCCGCTTCGGGTCGTGGGTTTCCGGGAACTCGTCGGGCCCGATCGTCGACGCGAGCATGATGCTCGAGGGCCACTGCTTCGCGATGCGGTGCTCCTCGCCCATGAGGAAGCGCTCCGCGCGCACCTCCAGACTCAAGAGCCGCCGGCCGTCGGGGCTCTGCCTCTTCAGGATCTCGTCCTTGAGCGCGCGCGCGAGGATCGACGTCGACCCCGCGCCCGTCGACGCGCCGATCTCCAGGATGTCGCCGCCCTCGGCGGCGCGCGGCGCGCCGACGGCCCAGGCGAGGATGCGCGACGCGACGTAGCCGTCGTGGAACTCGCCCGTGCGCCGCAGGTTGTAGTCGTGCTCCTTCTTCAGCTTCCGCAGGCGCCGCTTGGGGATCTTCGCCACGAGGCGCGCGCTCACCTGCGCCTGGTGGTCCATGATGCGACGCGCCTCGCCCGGCGCCATGGGGCAGGGCTCCACGCAGGTCGACGGGTCGAGGGCGAGCGCCGCGGCGACCACCACGGCCGCGCGGATGAATGCACGCTCCATGCTGCCCCCCAACCGTCTGCAATGTTTTAGGTGAAGCCCGTGGTGAGGGACGCCGATGGGACTCGTGGCTTCACTCGTGACACGTCTCGTGACGCGCGCACGCGTGTGCGGATCAAAATGGGCGAATTTAGCGGCCGGGGCCGCGGCGGCGGGGCTAGAGTTCCACGGCGGACCCCTCGATCCTCGACGCCGCGAGCTTCGCCGGCGGGTCGTCGTTCGGCTCCTCGGGCGGCTCCTCGGACTTCTCCTCGGCGTAGAAGACGGGCTCCTCCGGCGGCGGCGGCGGGGTGGGCTCCTCCGGGGCGCGGTGCGCCGGCTCCGGCGGCGGCGGCGCGGGCTCCTGGGAGAAGAAGACCGGCGGCGCGGCCGGCGGCGCCGCGGCCGCCGCCGCGTTCCTGCGCGCGAGCGCGAGGAAGCCCGCGACGTAGAAGGCCGCGTCCTCGTCGTTGTAGGCCTCGAGGCAGACCTCCATGTCGCCCGCGAAGAGCAGGCTGAAGGAGTGGGGCCGGCCCTTGCCCGCGCCCGGGCCCGCGACGGACCGGAGCCCCGAGAACGGGAGCCGCTTCCGCGGGTCCGCGAGGCCGTCGATGCGGCGCCAGCCGAGCCAGGCGCAGGCGACGTCGCTGAAGACGACGCGGCGCCGCGGCGGCGTCAGGTTCGCGCCGAAGCCCGCCGCGTGCTTCCGGAGCCGGATCCCGGACACCTGTGTGGAAATCAACCGCTGGTTTGGGGGGTCCCCACCAAACTTCAGAACTCTCTATCTCGATCAAATCGACGTCGATTCGGCTGATTTTTGGACGCATCGATTGCTTTCGTCGAGCTCTCGAAGCATAGAAGAAGAGCTCGCGTCGAAACGGTCGCATACGCGCACATTGAAGTCGGGTTGAAGATTTGATTTCCACACAGGCGGACACGAGCGCGCGCGAGAACCGCTCGAGCTCCTTGCCCGCGAGGGGCGCGACCGTCGGCGCCGCGTGGGCCAGCTGCGGCTTCAGCTCCGGGGGCACGTCGGGCACGGTCCAGGACCCGGCCTTGGGCGTCGTGTTCTGCGACTCGAGGACGACGAGCGTGAGGCCCGCGAGCAGGTACGAGTGCACGTGGAGCGTGAGGCACTCGAGGACCGTCGGCGGCTTGCGCGCGTCCGAGCTCACGAGGATGAGGCGCATCGTCTTCTTCTTCCGGCGCCGCTTCACCACGAGCCCCGTGCCGTCCATGAGGATGTCGTCGTTGTCGCCGCCGACGCGCTCCTCGACGACCTCGCAGAGCTCCGTGAGCCGGATGGACCAGGACGCGCCGGACCGCGTCGCCCGCGCCGCCGCGAGGCCCGCGGCGTCGCCCGGCGCCGGCGGCGGCTCCGCGCGGTTCCGCAGGCGCTTCCGGTCGCCGCCGAGCGTGAGCATCATCTTCTTCGAGCCGCGCTTGATGAGGCTCTTCGTGCTCAGCACGCCCCGGGCCACGTAGGACGCGACGGCGCGGCTGCCCCGCGCGCCCGCGCCGGAGGCGGCGACGCGCTCCCACCACGCGCCGCCGCGCCAGGACCGGAACTTGCCGTGCTCGCGCGCGGTGCGAGGCCGGGTCAGCGCGAGCGCGCGGTGCTCGCCCTTGCCGCTGCCGGCCAGGGTCAGGATGCGGGGCCGCTTCTTCACCTTCCCCGCGCGCCGGTCCTCGACGACCTTGAGGACGCCGACGCCGCCCTCGAGGATGGCCTTGAACTGCTCGATGTAGGACCGGGCGCGCATCGGCCTCCCCGGCGGCGGCGCGCCGCGCGGCCTCCTCGACGGGTGTCGCGCCTTCCTCCGCGCGGACCGACGACGGGGCGCGCCCCCGGCGTCGGTGCGGGGGCCGCGCGGCGGGTGCGGGGCCGGCGGTGCGGGCTTCCCGCGACGACAGGAAAGGAGCGTCTCAACAACACCCGCTCCAGAGCTCGCGGCAGTTCTTCAGCGAGCTTTTGCGCTCCGCGTGGCTGTCGCGCGTCCTGGCCGCTGGCTTAGGCGTGGTATGGGGCACTGGGCCGATCCTCCCGATCGTGCTCTCGCTCCTCGCTCCATTACCCTAGCCCTCCCCTTTGATCCTCCCTTCATTTTTCCCTCTCTCTCCCCCGCGCGCAAGGCGGTCCCCGCGGCGAGGTTCTGGGTGCTCGAACATGCTACACTTTTCAGACCGCGCGCTCGTCGCCCCGATTCCGGCCGGCAGCCGAAAGAGTGTAGCATGTTCGCCCCCCCCGAACCCCGGACGCAGCCCCGCGCCGCCGGCCAACCACATCGTCTCGAGCGAAAGCCGAGCGATACATTTCACTGCAACTTGGTCCGTCGATTGGTAAGTGGTAATAACCACCTAGGTGGTTATTACACGGCGTCGACTCGGCCGCCGCGGCAGCTTCATCTCCACCGTGGGGTCGTTCTCGATCAGCGGCAGCAACCGGTCGGGCAACGACTAATCACCCAGCCTAGTACCGTCCTGGCCTCCTCCCCCGGAGACGCGGGGCGCGCCCGGGAAGTCGGCCGGGAAGCGGCGGAAGGCCCCGCGCCGCCTTGCAAGTTCCTCCGCAAGGCCGACCGCGACCTCGACGCGCGCTGCGGCGCGCCGCCGCCGGGGCTCCTCTGGGATCCGGACCGGAGGACTTTTCAGTGTTGAAGGACAACTTCAGTGCAACGAGCTCATCGGGCGAGCTCTTCGAGCTGCCGCGCAGAGAGACCTCGAAAATGGGCAAGTCAGCCAAGGTGAACCGCATCGGCAACTTCCAGACGCACAAGAAGAACGTGCGACGGCGCAGTCTTGTTGTGGAGAAGCGGCCGAAGAAGGACGCGACGACGTACACGTCCGCCGAGGCGCGACAGCCCAAGGCGCCCAAGGCGGCGGTGCGCGACGGCGGCGCGAAGGCCGCCAAGTGAGCGGCGTGTGTCGGCGGCGCGCGCGGCGCCGCGCGCCGCACACATGGTCGGGCTCGGCGCCGCGCGGCCGCGGCCGGCGACCGCGCGGCGCCGCGAAGCGCTCAGAGCGCCGCGGCGCGCCTCAGCCCGCGCCCCGGCATCGGCGCGCCGCGCCGCCGCGACGCGCTCGGCGGCGACGCGACGTCCCCCGGCACTCGCCCGTGCCCCCGGCATCGTCGCGCCGCGCGATCACCGCGGAGGCCGTCGGACGCGCGCGACTGCCGCGCGCCGTCGCGTAATTTCTGTTGTTGTCTCGAGTCATCCCGGACTATTCTGCGGGGTCCACCACGCCGGCGACGCAAACTACTAGTAGGTGCGTAATCTTGACGCCGCGCGCTCACGCGGCGACGCGCGTCGGCTCCGGCAGTGGCGCGTCGATCTGGGCCACGGGCAGCGCGACGCCCTGCTCCTCGAGGGCGATCTTGACGGAAGACGTGAGGTGGACCATGTCGCGCTCGAACATGCGGCCGATGGAGCCGACGCGGAAGCAGTCCGCCTCCGTGAGCTTGCCCGGGTAGATGACGATGCCGAGCTCCGCGAGGCGGTCGTAGAACTTGGGGAAGTCGAAGTTGGGGTCGTCGGGGAAGAGGTAGGTGTGGATGATGCAGCCCTGGGCCGGCGCCTCCCCCGGCGCCGCGACGTCGTCGCCCGCCGCGCCGCCGGCGACGTAGCGCTCGAAGCCGAGCGCGCGCATGCCGGCGACGAGCGCCGCGGCGTTGGCCTCGTAGCGCGCGCGGCGGCCGGCGACGCCGCCCTCGGCGAACATCTCCGCGAGGGCCTGCTTGAAGGCCATGAGCGACTGGACCGGCGGCGTGAAGCGGAACTGGCCGTTGCCCTCGAGGCCCTCCCACTGCTTGAGCAGGTCCAGGGACAGCGCGCGCGCGTGGACGCCCTGGCTGAGGAGCTTGTCGCGCTTGGCGATGGCGAAGCCGAAGCCCGGCACGCCCTCGATGTTCTTGTTCGCGGACGACACGACGTAGTCGACGTGCGACCCTTCGAGATCGACCGCGTAGCAGCCGAAGCCGGACATGGAGTCGACGATGAAGGTGAGCTCGGGGTCGTGGGCGTGGAGCAGCTTGCCGACGGCGTCGACGTCGTTGAGCGTGCCCGCGGTCGTCTCGTGGTGGATCATCGCGACGTGGCCGTAGTAACCCGCGGGCTTCGCCGCGAGGTGCGCCGCGACGGCCGCGGGGCTCACGGCGCGCGCCTCGTGGGACCGGAGCACGTCGTGGGCGATGCCGTGGTAGGCGCACATCGTCGCGATGCGGTCGCCGTAGGCGCCGTTCGACACGACGAGCAGCCGGCCGCCGGGTGGGATCACGGAGCTCACGACGGACTCGACGGTCGTCGTGCCCGACCCGGGCACGAGCACGCACTCGTAGCCCGCCTCCTGCGACGTGTCCGCCAGGGTCAGGAGCTCGGACCGCACGCTGCGCACGAGCTCGATGAACTGGGGGTCGCGGGAGCCCAGGTCCCGGAGCATGGCCTGCTTCACGGAGATGGACGTCGTCAGCGGGCCCGGCGTGAAGAGCAGCGGCTCGCGCCCGGCGACGGACGCGAGGCCGCACGTCGCGGGCTGCGACCTGAGCGCGCGGAGCGCCGCGCGGAGCTGGACGGGCATCATCGTCGGTCTGGGAATCGCCCAAGGTGCAACGTGTACCGTAATCACCGTCTTGAAAGATTCTTTGAAGCCACGTCGTCGATCCGCGATAAAAACTTCCACTCGACACAACTCGAAACACAGGCAGCCCAGAATTACCACCATGTCCATGATCGCCGCTAGCCGCACCGTCGCCCGCGCCTGCCTCCGCACTTCCTCCGCCGCGGCCCTGAGCACGGCCACGGAGGGCGCGGCCCTCCACAAGGACGCCAAGCTCCTCGTCTGCGACATGGCCGGCACGACGGTCATGGAGGAGGGCCTCGTCTACTCGACGCTCCTCGACTGCATGGTCGAGAAAGGCCTGGGCGTCACGGAGGCGGAGATGCACCCCTGGCACGGCGCGGACAAGACGGAGGTCACGGCGAACTTCGTCCAGCGCGAGATCGCCGACGAGGCGCAGCGCCTCGCGATGGCCGCGGACATCGACGCGCTCTTCCTCGTCAAGCTCGAGGAGCGCTACCTCGCCCCCGACTCGCCCGTGGCGCTCATCAGCCCGGATCTGCCCGACTTCCTCGCGAACCTGCGGGCGTCCGGCGTCAAGGTCGGCCTGAACACGGGCTACCCGACGCGGCTCCAGGAGGCCTTGCTCGAGAAGCTCGAGCTCAAGTCCATGGTCGACGCCTGGTGCTGCGCCGCCGACGTCACGCGCGCGCGGCCGTCGCCCTTCATGGTCTTCAACCTCATGAACCAGTGCAACGTCGAGACGGGCGTCGTCAAGGTCGGCGACACGGTCCGCGACATGGGCGAGGGCATCGCGGCGCACGCGGTGCAGAACGTCGGCGTCCTCTCCGGCGCCGACGACGCGGCGACGCTCTTCGACGCCGGCGCCGACGTCGTCATCCCCGACGTCACGAAGCTGTCCCTCGAGTTCCTCGCGGAGGCGCCCGCGGCCGCGGCCGCCGCGTGAGCGGGCCACGACGTCGCGCGAGAGCGCGCGCGGAGGCGTGGCGCCGCGTCGCCCCGGAGTAAGCGAGCACGCCCGGCTCCATCGTGCGCGATACTCGTGTTGGAATACGCCGTCGGCAGGTAACGTGCCCCGCCGGCAGCGACACGGTGGCGATCCGAGCATCCAATCAAAGTTTCTTATTGGTCCGGGGATGATTTTATCTGTCGTTGCCCGACCGGTTGCTGTTGCCGCTAATCGAGAACGACCCCACGGTGGAGATGAAGCTGCCGCGGCGGCCGAGGCGACGCCGGGCCTTCTTGACGCGCGCGTCTTTCAGCGCGGCGGGCTCGCCCTTCGGGCTCGGGACCTCCGAGGCGGTCGCGGGCTTCTGGGAGCCGCCGCGCGTGTTGCTGTGGCGGTACCGCGCCTCGACGAGCCGCGCGTGGTCGATGGGCAGCGTGAGGTCGATGTCTCCGAGCACGGCCTCGGCCGTCGAGAGGCGGCGGTCGATGTCGGTCTCGTACTCGTACTCGACCTGCTCGTTGATGTACACCGTGCGCTCCGCGTTGTCCGGCTTGAAGTGCACGTCGCCCGTCGAGAAGACCTTGAGCGTGTCGCCCTCCGTCGAGTAGAACTCGACGCCGAACGCGTCCGCCATCTCGTAGCGCGTCACCTTGAAGTTGATGTACGACGTCGTCACGTAGGGGTCGTTCCACCACTGGTTGCCCCAGACCTCCGTGTCGAGCGTCGACGAGTCGCAGGTCGTGACGCAGTCCGCGCCGCTCGCGGTCTGCACCACGTTGCCGGACTCCGTGAGGTCGTAGGTCGACGTGTCGTCGTCCGAGTACGTGACCGTGATGTCGCTGCCCGTCACCTCGGTGACATTCGCGGAGTAGGACTCGCCGTCGTCGTAGAGCGCGGAGACGGCGTCGCCGACCTCGCAGTAGTTGACCGCCGAGTCCGTCACGAGCTCGCCGCCGCTGAGGAGCGCCGACGGGCACTCGAAGCCCCCGTACCAGTAGCCGTCTTCCGAGTACGTGTTGTTCTCGCTGTAGTACGGGCAGCACGTGTGGCTCCCGACCTCGCAGTAGCACTTGGCGCACACCGACGACACGCCGCCCGTGTTCGCGCGGCACGTCGAAGGGATGCCGTTCGGGCACGGGTACACGCCGCCGCTCGTGCCGGTCTGGCACTCCCAGTCGAACGGCACGACGAAGCCCGCGCGCTCGAACAAGTTCAAGTCGCCCGAGCCCAGGCCGAGCACGCCGAGGCTCTCCCCGTCTTCGAGGCGGCGGCGCATGGGCAGTTGGTAGTCGTCCAAGGTCGAGTAGTCGTCCGGGTCGACGCCGTGCCCGAGCGTCGTGGTGCCGATGGGCGCGGACGGCGTGTAGGTGTGGTTGTAGACCTGCGAGGCGCAGTGTGGAGGGGCTGCGAGGCGGGTGTGCGGGGCAGCGTTTGGACGCGGGATCGCACCATCTTCTCGACGTGGTCCAGCGTCGCCTCGATGCTCTCGAGGTCCTCGGAGGAGGTGGCGCTGGAGCTGCTGCCGAAGGCCGCGGCGCCGACGGCGAGCGCGAGGATCGCGCGCATGCTGTACATCGCTGCGGCAAGTTTTGCACGCTTGGAATTTTAGCTGCGTTCATCACGAGTTCATCAACAAGGGTGGATGCCCGGATTGTTTAAGTGCGACATCATTCATGAGCTAATTCGATTAAAAGTGCACCCAGGAAAATCACGACAGGATGAGTGCCGCCCCACGCAGTGGGAGCACGCACCCTGCGAGGAGGAAACTGCAGTGGGCACGGAAGCATAGGGTGGATTTCCAACTCGACTCACCCCTTAGTCCCCCTTGAAGAGGAGCCCCGGCGGCGGCGCGCCGCAGCGCGCGTCGAGGTCGCGGTCGGCCTTGCGGAGGAACTTGACGTGGCGGAGGGGCGCGGTGTCGCCGCAGAGGAGCGGGTCCCGGCGCCCCGCGTTCGGCAGGTACGCGACGCGCCCGCCCGGCACGAGGAGCGGCGCGGCGACCTCGTAGAGGACCCCCGTGTCGTTGACGGCGCCGGCGAAGACGTCGCCGAGGAACGCGGCGTTCGCCCGGTCCCAGGCCGCGTAGTAGCCGCACGTCGCGTCCGCGCGCGAGACCACGCCTCCCGGCGCGCACGCGCAGTCGCGCTTCGTGAGCGCGCCGGCGGCGTCGACGCAGCGCGCGTCGTGGTAGGCGCCGAGCACGGCGTCTGCCGCGTCGTCGCGGCCCGCCGCGCGGAGGACGAGGTGCCAGAGCGACGGCTGGTCCTTCGGGCCGCACCGGAGCCTGGGCGGGAAAACGAAGCTACGCGACGCGACTTCAGAGGGGTTCGTATGTGACACAGGTGTTGAGCTCTCTGGAACGAGGTCGACGAGAGAAAACGACTCGTCCGAACATCAGCCGAATCGACCGAGAGAGGGAGGTTTGGCGTTCCGCGAGATCCGGGGTCGTTTCCGCGGCGCGGACCGGAGCCGGAACCAGCGCGCGAGGAAGCCGACGGCCCAGGGCGTCGCCGTCGCGAGGAGCACGGCGGCGCCGAAGAACTGGCGGTAGCAGGGCGCCGGCAGCGCGACCTCGCCGCCCCGCGCGGCCGCGGCGAAGGTCTCCAGGAACGGGCGCCCGAACGCCGCTCCCGCGACCCAGGCGTCGCTGTCCAGGAACAGCAGCGCGTCGGCGACGCCCAGGACGCCGAGGGCGTAGAGGCTCAGCGCCTTGGACGTGTGGCCCAGGCGCTCCTCGACGGCGCTCGGGCAGCCCGGCGCGCGCGGCGGCGCGCCGCGCGCGAGCGGGGCGCCCACGAAGGCGTACGTCGGCAGGCCCCGCAGGTCCGCGTGGCAGAGGCGGTTCAGCGCCCAGCGCAGGAACGTGTGGAAGAAGCCGAAGTCGCTGTAGGACGTCACGAGCGCCAGCGGCGCGCGGCCGCGCCGCGCGGCGGACCGGGGCGACGACACCGCGCAGAGCAGCGGCGTCGCCGGCGCGCCGCGGCCGCAGGCCGGCCAGGGCCCGGCGCAGGGCGCGGCGACGTCGAAGCGCCGCCGCCGCCGGCCGGCGCGGAGCTCCAGCGTCGCGTTGCCGTCGAGGACGCGCAGCTCGCAGCCCACGCGCAGCGCCACGCCGAGCGCGTCGAGCGACCGCGGCCCGGAGCCCTCGCGCGCGGTCCGCGCCGCCGCCAGGCCCCGCGCGCCCTCGGCGGCGAGCGCCGCGTCGAAGGGCGCGTCGTCGCTCGACGCGACCGCGACAAACCCGGGCGAGGGCATGGACCTTGCCAAGTGCTGAGGCAGTGCCGTGTGCCTTAGTCCACCGCAATGGCCGCCGCGCCGGCAACTAAGATAGCGAACCCTGCGATGCCTGCATGCAGCACGCCGCCCGCCGCCGACGTCGCGAAGAAGCTGGTCTTCCCGCTCGCCGTGCAGGCCTTCTTCGACCACGCCCAGGCGCTCGAGCGCGGCCGCAAGGGCGCGTCGCTGTCGCGCTTCGTGCCGCCGCGCCTCGAGGCCGCGGACGCCGCCTACGCCGCGGCGTTCGCCGCGCTCGCCGCGGCGCGGCCGCCCGCGCCGCCCGCGGGCTGGGCGCGCGTCCGCGGTAAGTACGCGGCGGCGGCGGCGCGCGTCCGCGCCGCGCGCCGTCCGCGCGGCCCGCCGCCGCGCCTCGACGAGCGCCGCCGGTCCGCGCTCGCGATCCGCTACGACGCCTCGCGCCACGACCTCGCCGCGGCCGTCCGGGGCGTCCTCGGCGTCGAGGCGGGCTTCCCGCTGAAAGCCGCGCACGAGCGGTGGACTCACCCTTCCCCCGACGACCCGCCGCCGGCGTGCCCCGCGCTGCTCTGCGCGCTCGCGCGGTGCCGGAAGCTGCCGCGGCGCTGGCGGGCCCTCGCGGCGCGGCGCCGGGAGCACATCCGCGCGTTCCGCGGCACGCCGGCCTACGGCGCGTTCGTCGCCGCGTTCCGGGCCTTCGTCGCGGACGTCGTCGTGCCCGTCGTCGGCGAGGGCGTGGCCTACCAGTGCCCGCCGACGCTGCGCCTGCACTTCCCGGGTCCGCGGGCGCTGGGGGCGCCGCACCGCGACGGCGACTACGACGGGCACACGGGACAGGAGATCAACTTCTGGGTGCCGCTCACGCGGGCCGCCGGCACGAGCTCGCTCTACGTCGAGTCCGCGCCCGGCGCCGACGACGCCGCGCCCCTCGACCTGCACTACGGCGACTGCTACCGCTTCGACGGCGAGCACTGCAAACACCACACGGTACCCAACGCGACGGGCGCGACGCGCGTGAGCCTCGACTTTCGATGCATCCCGCTCTCGCTCTACGAGGACCGCTTCGGCGGGCGGATCGGGTCCTACCCGGCCGAGACGGTCGCGGCCGCTAGTAGATGAAGTAATCGTTGATGTCAACTGGTTGATGTTGACCGTCTCCGGCGCGCGAGCCTTCCGCAACGATCTCCGCGGCTTCGCAAGGCTGCCCACACCCGCGCGTCGACCGCGGCGCCAGCTCCGGAGCTCCGCAGCGGCTGCCCACACCCGCGCGTCGACCGCAGTGCCAGCAGCTCCGCGGAGGCTGCCCACGCACCGCTTCTCCGGGCAGCATGCACGCCGCCGCCATGGACGGCATGGGCGCGAGGATGCGGCTCAAGGCCTTCGAGCGGTCCTGGCGCGCGCGGCTGCCCGGCGCCGGCGCCGTCGACGACCTGCTCGGCGGCGACGACGTCGACGCGGCGCTGCTGCGCGGGCTCGCGGCGGCCGCGGCGCCGGCGTTGCTGCGCTTCGCGGCGCCGTCGGCGGCGGCGCCGCGCGGCCCCGGCCCGGGCCGCCTGGCCGCGCTGCCGGAGGACGCGCGCGCGCACGCGCTCGGCTTCCTCGACCTCGGCTCGCTCGGGGCCGCGCGGCTCGCGGCGCGCGGCCTCGGCGAGGCCCTGCGCCGCCCGGGCTTCCTCTTCGGCCTCGTCGGCGACGACGGCCTCGCGCGCGCGATCCTCGACGACGCGGGCGACGCGTGGCCGGCGGCGCGGCTCGCGGCGCTCGCGGACGTCCTCGCGGGCGCCCCCGCGGCGCACCCGGTCCGCGCGGCGCGGCCCGGGCGCGTCGAGGCGGTCCGCGCGCTCGCGCGCGCGCGCTCCGGCCTCGCGGCGCGCCGGCGCGCCGCGCGGCGCGACCGCGCGGACGCGGCGCACCGCGCGGACGCGGCGCTCGTCGACGCGTGCCTGCCGGCGCTCGGGGCCGCCGTCGGCGCGGCGTCGGACGTCGCCAAAGCGCTCGGCGGCGACCGCGAACCCTTCGAGCTCGTTTCCCTGGACTCGCTCCGCGAGGTCAAGTGCCGCTTCCACCCGGCCTTCGACCTCTTCGACGCCGTCGCCGCGGTCGCGGCCGCGCGGCTCGCGCCGGACGCGCGCGGAGCGCTCGCCGCCTGCGCCGCGGCCCTCGCGCGCTGGGCGCCGCCGCGGCCGCCGCCGCCGCCGCGGCCGGTCGCCGCCGCGGGGAGCGCGCGCTGCGCGAAGATCGCGCGGCTCGTCGAGTGGGAGGACCGCGAGGTCGCGGACGCGGAGCGCGACGCGCGCCGGCTCGTCGACGACGCCCGGGCGAGGCTCCTCTCCGGCGACGAGCGGCGGCCGGCGAGGGCCGCGGCCGCGCTCGCCGCGCTGGGCCGCCTCGCGCGCGCGTGCGCCGTCCACCCGGCGCGCGCGGACGCGCCCGCCCGGGGCCTCGACGAGGCCCGGCGCGCGCGCCTCGACGTCGGCGCGCCGCCGGAGCCGCCGAGGGAGCCGCGCGCGAGGGCCCCGCGGACCAGCGAGGCGTTCGAAGACCTCCGGGCGTCCGTCGCGGGGCGCTTCGCGGCCCGGCCCGCCGCGCCGCCGCCCGCCGCGCCGCCCGATCCCGAGGTCGCCCCGCGGGCCCGCGTCTGGCGCAAGACGGCGCTGGGCGCGACGGCGCGCGCGGAGCTCTGGGCCCACGCGGCGAGCGGCGACGAACTCGGCGACGACGCGGCGGCCGAGCTCCGCGAGCTGTTCGCGCGCGGCACGTTCATCGGTATGCGGCCGTTCCTCGCAGCGTCCTGTGTGGCCGTGACGATTTTCGAGAGATGTGGGCTGGGAAAACGACGAGGAAATCGTCACCGTCATGCTTGGTAGGTTCCTCGAGAGCATCGGCAAGGGGAGGAACTGGTTCACGGGTGCGAACTTCTCGAACACCGTCAGCGCGACGGCGCGATCCAAGGCCGGCGAGTACTACGCGCGCGCGCCCGACGCCTAGCGATCTCGACGCGCCTTCCCGCCACCCTGGGCGCTTCCTTGCGGCCGTCCTTACTACCGATTGTAGGACGCGAAGGCGTGGAGGATCTTCTTGCGCGTGCCGACCTTGACGCCGCAGTCGCGCCAGTCCTCCGCGGAGATGAGCTTCGCGGTGTCGAAGTCGAGGATCTCGTTCTCGACGCACTGGGCCTCGAGGGTCCGGCGCGCGTCGCGGCCGAGGTCGAGGGCGTCGAGGAAGCGCGCGAGGTCGCCCGCCACGCCCGCGGGCGACGACGGCGGCGACACGACGGGCGCGGCGGCGCGCGGCGGCGCCGCGACGGGCGGCGGCGGCGCCGAGAGCGCCCGCAGGGCCCGGAGCGCCGGCGGCGCGGCGGCGGCGGCCGCCGTCGTCGCGCGGTGCTCGTCCGCGAGGCGGCGCACGGAGTAGTTGGGCACGAGCGCGCGCTGGCTCGGCTCGAGAGGCGCGGACGTGAGCGGAGACGTGGCGTTGCCGCGCTGGAACCACTCGGTGATGGCCCGGCGCTCGTAGGTGTGGCCGTCGCCGGCGAGGACGACGGGGTCGCCGAAGAGCTCGTGCGTGATCGGGCAGTAGAGGTCGTCGCCCGCGCCCGCGACGTCCGCCTCGGGCGAGACCTCGGGCGCGTAGGCCGGGTAGGCCGGCGCCGCGGGCGCCGGCGCCGGCGGCGCGACGGGCGCCGGCGGCGCCGGCGGGCCCTCGAAGGCCGCGGCGTCGTAGGCCGGGAAGCCGTCGTCGGCGGTTTCCTCCTCGCGCCGCGCGAAGACGGCCGTCGCCTCCTGCTGCGCCTTGAAGAAGGCCATCTCGCGGTCGAAGCGCTCGCTCTCCTCGCGGCGGCGCCGCTCCGCCGCGGCCTCGGCGCGCGCGTCGAAGCGCTTCGCCGCCGCCGCCGCCGCCTCCCGCTCGCGCCGCTGCTCGTCGGCCTTGTCGCGGTACGCCTGCGCGGCGTCGCGGAGCTTGTCGACGTTCCGCCGCGAGAAGAGCGACGTGCCCCGCTCCGCGGCGAGGTCCAGCTCGACGTCCGTCGCCCAGTCGACGTCCACGAGCGCCTGGAAGAGGCGGTTCGCGTCGCCGTGGGACCGCTCGAGGTCCTCGGCGGTGACGGCCGCGATCCACGACCCGAAGGTCCCCGACCAGACGCGGTCGCGCGCGTCGTTCGCGAAGTCGCGGCGCACCTTGCGCTTGAGGCGCATGGCCCGCCGGTCCTCGAGCCGCCCGTGGACGGGCTTGGCCCGGTCCACGGCGCGGCGCGCGTTGCCCACGAGCACGGACGCGCCGGGCGCGCCGAACGCGCGGTTCGCCGCGCCCGCGCAGCGCGTGATCGCCCGCTCGAGCTGGGCCGCGGCCCGGTCGAGGTCCGCGTCGGCCAGGCCGCCCCAGCCCTCGGCCTCGGCGAGGAGGCGCTCGAGGTGCTGCGTGTGCTTGACGCACGTGTCGACGTGCTGGAGCGCGACGAGCTCGCGCTCGCGGCGCTTCGCGTCGACGACCTCGACGTAGGCGCCGGCCGACGGCGACGACCAGCTCATCTCGCCCGTGGACTTGGCGACGCCGACGCGCCACGTGATGTCCCAGCCGCCCGCGCCGAGGCTCGGCACCGTGGCCGTGCCGACCAAATGCGTCTCGCCGGCCCAGTTCGCGAGGTCGTCGACGAGCAGCGGCGCGGAGACGTTCTCGAGGACGCCGTCGCCCGAGATCATCTCCGCGACGCACTCGACGGCGCGCACGGCCTCGAGGAACTTGGCCGGGAGCTTCAGCTCCACGACGACGAACTTGGCGGCGTCGCCGACGACGGACTCGCGGAGCACCGTCGGCTTCAGAGGCGACTGCATGGCCTCCTCGGACTGGATCATGAGGGGCCGCTCCGGCGCGTCCTCGCCGAAGCCCAGCGCTTCGAGGTTCCTCTCCATCCACATGCTGTGCCACATGTAGCGGTTGAGCTCGAGCTGCGTCACGTCGTAGCCCTTGGCGGCGTGCGCCGCGCGCATCTCCTTGAAGTAGCGCAGGCGGTGGCCCGTGTTCTTGAGCACCGCCGACGACCGCTGGAAGCGGTCGAAGCGCTCGCGCGCGTCGGGCTTCCCCTGGTTCCGGTCCGGGTGCAGGTCGCGCGCGCGGCGCCGGTAGAGCTTGGCGATGGACGCCGTCACGGCGTCGCTCGCCTCGGCGAGCGCCTTGCCCGCGGCCGCGCCCGCGGAGTACTCGGCGCCGTAGCGCGTCTCCACGGCCTTGAGGAGCTTCGTGAGCTCCTTGACGCCCAGCGTCGCCTTCTCCTCCTTTTTCTCCTCCTCGCCGGCCTTGGCCTTGACCTTGGACGACGACGCGCGCTTCTTCTTCGCCTCGAGCTTGCGCGCGTCCTCGAGCTGCTTACTCAGGCCGTCCCACGTCTTCTTGGTCTTGTTCGTGACGCCCTCCTTGGCGTTGTGGTCCTCGACGCGCGCGGCCTCCTCGAAGAGGAGGTCGAGGAGCGCGTCGTCGAGGCCAAAGTCCTCGACGACGGGCAGGAGCGCGACCCACTCGCGCAGCGCGGCCCAGGGGTCCGCGGACGCCATGGTGGCGCGTGTGGTCGTGCGGTGGCGGTCGTACGGCGGCGGGTCGAGCGGCGCGACAGAGGCTCGTCGCAGGTCGGCTCGCGCTCGAGTCGCGCTCAAAAACTCGGGCTTGCTGTGGCATCGCAAACCTTGCCCCTCCGATGCAGCCCAAGATGGACGGCATCGAGCTTGCCCCACCGATGCAGCAGCCCACGATGGGCTAGCAACTCATGCCGAGCAGCTTCAAGGAGTTCCTCGCGTCGCGCGACGCGCCGGCGCCCGCGCCGGCGCCCGCACCGACCCGAAAAAAGAAGCAGGCCGCCGTCGCACCGCCGCCGCCGCCGCCGGCGCCGCCAGTCCGACTTCCCCTGGGTTTTGGAAAGCAAACCATCGCGGGCGTCGAGGTGTGGTACGTGCGGCCGGAACGCTGCACGGGCCTGCTCTTCGTCGCCCACGGCATGTGCCACGGCGCCTACGACTGGTTCCGCGGCGACGAGGTCGCCGGCGGCGTCGGCCTGCCCGAAGAGGTCGCGATCGTGCGAGCGGCGAGCGCCCGCGGCTACGCCGTCGCCGCGGTCTCGTCGCTGGACCGGAGCCGCAAGGCCTGGAGCCCGGAGGCCGACGGCCCGCGCGTCGCCGCGGTCCTCGACGCGCTCGCGGCGGCGCTCGGCGGCCGCGGGGCGCTGCGCGTCGCGGCGTTCGGCGCGTCCAACGGCGGCGCCTTCGTCCTGCACCTCACGCGCTTCGTCGCGCTCGACGCCGTCTGCTGCGCGATCATGGCGCTGGCGCCGCGGGAGCTCGAGTTCCTCGCGGCGAACCCGCCTGTGTGGAAATCAACCACTGGTTTGGGACGTCCCGACCAAACTTTGAAATTCTCTAGCTCGGCCAAATCGAAGTCGATTCGGCTGATTTTTGGACGAATTGATCGCTCTCGTCGAGTTCTCGAAGCAGAGCCGAAGAGCTCGCGTCGAAACTTTCAAATACGCTCACATTGAAGTCGGGTTGAAGATTTGATTCCCACACAGGAACCCGAAGTTCCCGCGCGTCGCGGTCTTCGACCACATGCCGCGGGACGCCCAGACGGCGCGCGCGGCGGCGGCGAACGTCGCGCTGCTCCGCGCCGCGGGGAGAGCGGCCGTCGAGCTGCGCGTCCCGCCCCGCGCCGTCGACGGCGCGTTCCTGGGGGACCGCGCGGGGCTGCCGCGCGGCGCCGCGGACGACGCCGCGGCCGCGCTCGCGGCCGCGGGGCTCCTCGCGGCCGACGGGTCGCTCGCCGACGACCCGCGGCGGAGCGCCTGGCGCGGCGTCCTGCGGCCCGTGCTCGCGCGCCACGGCGTCGCCGACGCGCTCGTCGCCGACGCGTCGGCCGTCGCGGAGCTCATGAACGTCGCCTTCGCGGCCCACGAGCTCGCGGCGACGAACATCGGCGCGATCCTCGACGCGTTCGCATCGCCATAATCTTAGTCGCCATCCCGCGCGCACGCGCGAACGCGTCGCGGTGCGCCGACGCGGGGCCTTTCGGGCGTCCGGCGGCCGCCTAGATGAGCGCGGTCTGCATCTGGCAGCGGTCGCCCATGTAGCCCTCGAAGCACTCGCACTCGCCCGTAGAGTAGTCGCACTTGCCGCGGCGGCCGCACTCGTAGGAGTTGTAGTCCGCCGTGACCTGCTCCTTGACGAAGGAGAAGATGTCGGGCATGGACGTGACGTTGCCCTTGTACTGGAGGAACGGGGCCGTGCCCATCTTCTGGGTGTTGCCGCCGATGACGCCGCCCGTGATGTTCGCGCGCGAGTGCGACTTGAGCGAGACGGGGTTCTCGAGCTTGGGCGTGCAGCCGTCGAGGCACTCGTCGGTCTCGACCTCGAGGAGGTACTGGGGGCCCATGACCGTGTCGCCCGTGAAGGCGACGAGGCAGGAGAGGGCCGGGTAGAGCGACGTCAGGTTCTGGTGCACGTACTGGAGCGAGCAGTCGACGTCGACGTCGTCGATGACGTAGTTCGGGAGCTCGACGAGCGCCTTGCGCACGTCGCCGGAGAAGGCCTTGGAGATGTTGAAGACGTTCGTCTCGTTGAGGACGAGGGGCTTGGTCGTGTAGGACTGGTTCATCTTCGACGTGAAGGTGAGCGCGAAGGACTTGTTGAGGAAGTCCTTGAAGCAGTCCGGGTCCCAGTTGTCGCTGTTCTGGCCGTTGAAGCCGGCGATGGACGTGGCGCCCCGGGCCCAGTTGTTGGACTCGTACTTGCCATACCAGCCGCCGTTGGTGCTGTCGCCGAAGCCGCCGTTGCAGACCTCGCCGGAGGGGTTGTAGGTGATGCCGTCGCCCGTCTCGCCCGCGGCGATGAGCGTCACGTTCTGGACCTGGTACTTGAGGGCCGTGACGAGGTTGAGGCGCTCGTCGAGGACGTCGTTGCCCTTGGGGCACATGCGGCGCGAGCAGTCGATGTCCGTGTAGCCCGGCTCGCAGACGCACAGTTTGACCTTGCCCGAGTCCCACGCGGGCGCCTGCGCGAGCGTGACCGGGTCCGTGCCGAGGCCCGTGAGGGAGTTGGACTTGGCCGTGTAGTAGTCGCCCCAGACCGTGCCGAAGGGCGCGTCCTCGGCGTAGGTGCAGGCGCCGTGGCCGGAGCAGTCGTTCGGGCACGTCTGGATGCCGCAGCCCTTGCCCGTGTAGCCCTCGAAGCACTCGCAGTCGCCCGTGGAGCGGTCGCAGATGCCGACGCCGGCGCACTCGGCGTAGGTGTGGATGTTGCCGTCGCGGTCCGGGGACGCGGACCAGGCGACCTGGTAGGGGCACTTGCGGTCCGAGCAGTCGCCGCCCTCCTGGTCGCCCATGACCCAGTCCTGGTAGCAGGTGCAGGTGTCGTCGCTGCCGCAGGTGCCGTGGCCGGAGCAGGAGTTGGGGCACGAGGCCGCCGCGAGCCCGAGGGCGAGGGCGAGGGAGAGGAGGCGCATCATCTTGGCTATCGCAACAGCGCGGGGGCAGCGGACAGTGAGAGGCGAGCGGACCGCGGCAGATAACGCAAGATTAGCGGGATTCGTGAGGTTTGGATTTACCGAGGCGACCCCCGGCCAAAGTTTCGCCGGGGTAAATCGCGGGCTGCTCGCTCTCGTGTTGTATCGCTGCTCGCTCATCGACTGTGCGAGCTCCGCGTCCCGCAATGCGCCGCCCGACGCGCGCCGCTGAAATTTCCTGGACGCTCTGCCACCGCCGGAGACGCCGCCGACGCCGTGACGACGCGCCGCGACGAAAAATTTGCCGCGCGCCGACGCCCTAGACCGCCGTCGCCGCTCTCCTGCGCCGCGCGCTCCTCGGAGCCGCGCGCCGGGCGGCCGCGACGCGCTGGGCCTCGCGCACGCATGTTTATGTCCGCGGCACGTCGGCGCGGCGCCGGCGGCGGCTCGGCGGCCGGGCGGGGCGTCCCCCCGCTTCCGCGGCCGCGCGCGCGTTATCGCTCTCGCTCTCTCGCCGCCGCCCGATCACCCCACCCATCCCTTAGGTCAAGATGGGCAAGGGCAAACCGAATGGGCTCCGCGCCGGGCGCAAGCTCAAGACGCACCGCCGCGAGCAGAAGTGGGCGAACAAGGCCTACGCGAAGAGCCACAACATCTCGCAGTACGCGAAGCCCTTCGGCGGCGCGTCGCACGCCAAGGGCATCGTGCTCGAGAAGATCGGCATCGAGGCCAAGCAGCCCAACAGCGCCATCCGCAAGTGCGTGCGCGTGCAGCTCATCAAGAACGGCAAGAAGATCGCGGCGTTCGTGCCCCGCGACGGCTGCCTCAACTACGTCGACGAGAACGACGAGGTCCTCGTCGCGGGCTTCGGCCGCCGCGGCCACGCCGTCGGCGACATCCCCGGCGTCCGCTTCAAGATCGCCAAGGTCGCCGGCGTGTCGCTCCTCGCGCTCTACAAGGAGAAGAAGGAGAAGCCGCGCTCGTAGACGCCGCGCGGACTGTCCGGACCCTTAACCTTCTCTCGCGGATGTGTGAGTGGCGGACGCGTCGGGCGCACTTACGACCGTCCTACTGCACGTGGACGCGGACGTCGGCCTTGGCGAGGCCGATGGCGTCGAAGTCGTCGTCCTCGAGGAAGGCGAGGTCGTTGACCGTGCGCGCGCCCATCTGGTAGAGCGCGTCGGCGTGGCGCTCGAGGCCCCGGAGCCGCAGGAAGACGTCCAATTTCGTCGCGTCGCCGTTCGGGCGCGCGCCGTTCCGCAGGATGTCCGGCAAGTCGATGTCGACGGCCTCGGCGTACGTAGACGGCGCCGGCCGCTGGGCGCGGAGCGCGACCGTGTCGACCTGGATCCGGTAGCGCTCGTAGGCGCTCTCGAGGAACGCGTCGTCGCGCGACCGCAGCGGCGACGACGCGAGCTCGGAGTCGAACGTGGCGCGCGGCGTCGACAGGGCCGTGTCGAAGCTGCGGCGGATGGACAGGGCCTACGGCGGAGGACGGTGGGGGGTTTCGGCGGATCAAGCACATGGACGCGCCGTCGCGCCTCGTCGAAGGACTCGTAGGACTCGTACGTGCCCCGGGCGTCGCGGTCCGCGGAGAGTCCGGCCCCGCACGCGATGCCCCGGTCCGCGCTCAGCCCCGCCCCGCACGCGATGCCCGCGAAGCCGTCGTCCCTGGCGCCCGCGGAGCAGCCGACGAAGGTCGGCGGCGCCTCGTCCTCTTGGATCGTCGGCGTCGCCGGCTCGTAGTCGAAGCGGTTCGGCCGGCGGCGGGACTCGAAGCTGCCCCGGTCGAACGATAAGCGCGGCGGCGGCTTCGCGAGCAGGCGCGACGGCGACGACTGCTTCGCGCCCGACGACGAGAGGCGCCGCGGCCGCGGCGACGTTGGTTCCGGCTCGGCAAGGGGGCGCTGGGGCGGGCTGCCCGGGGGCATCGTTCTTCAGCCTTATCGATGTCGAATGACGCATCCGTTTGAATGAGGTTTCCGGTAACTCCCGGGCGGGCCGATCGTGCACCGGAACCGGTTGGGGCAGCCGAGGATGGCCGCGCTCCAGAGCCACGCGGCGTCGCGCCTGGCGGGCCTGCGCGTCGACGACGGCCCCGCCGCGGGCCCGGACCACGCGAGCCTCGCCGACGTCGTGCTCCGGGGCGTCGAGACCTTCCCGCCCTACCGCGAGTCCTTCTACGCCGCGTCCATCGCGTCGGCGGTCCGGGCGCCGGACTTCATCGAGATCGTCCAGGCCGCCCGGGGCGCCGAGAAGCGCAGGGCGTCGGCGGAGGCGGCGACGCGCGAGGCCGTCCGCGCCTTCGCCGCGGGCGCCGCGGCCATGGGCGCGAGCCGCGAAGCCGCGGATCTCGTCGCGCGGTCGCTCGCGAGCCGCGACGCGAACGTGCGCGCGCTCGTCGCGGCGGGCGCCGCGGCGCTGGAGGCGACGCAGGGCGTGCTCCGGGCGACGGCGCGGCGCGCGGGGCTGCACGACGAGGCCGCGGCGGTGGTGGCGTCGCGCATGCTCGACGGCGACGTGCGCCAGGTCGTGTCCGTGGCCCGGGCCGCGCGCTGCGGCGCGCCGCCGACGGCGCGCGCGGGAAGCGGCGACCTGGCGCGCATCGTCTACGTGAGCCTGCCCGAGGCCGCGGGGCCCCAGCGGTGGCGCGCGGGCCTCTACGAGGAGGCGGCGCCCGCGGGCGACGCGGACGTCGTCTACCGGCGCATCGTCGAGTCGCCCGGCGAGCAGCTCGGCGCCTACCTCTTCCGCGTCGCCATCGCCGGCAAGGGCACGCTCTGGTTCCTCGGGTCGTCCGTGTCGAAGACGTCCGCCGGCGCGTCGTCGGACTACGACGCCGCGGACCGGCCCGACGAGATCGCCGCGCCCTGGTTCGTCTACGACGGAAACCAGTGGTTCGAGAGCCCGGGCCTGAAGATCACGGCCATGCCCCCCAACGTCGCCGCCGCGCTCGCGAGGAGCCGCCGCAAGAACGCGAAGCTCATGAGCCCCCGCTAAGCCGGTTCTACACCGACGGCCCGAGCTAGAGTTAGACCCCCGCCGGCGGCTCGAGCAGGCCCTTGATGATGGGCGGCGGCGGCTCGTATTTGAAGGCGAGGTCGAGGAGCCCCGGCGGCGCGGCGACCGTCACGACGTCCGCGCCGACGTCGGGCAGGCACTCGGGCGCGAGGGGCACGAGGCAGTGCAAAGACGGGTCCGCCGCGAGCTCGATCTCGAGGAGCGAGTGCGCGAGCCGCTGCCCCTCGTTGGGGTCGAGCACGTCGAAGACCGCGCCCACGTCGTTTCCCGTGTTCGCGTCGACGCACCGCAGGCCCAACAAACGCTTCGACGGCGCGTAGGCATCGTCCTCGGGCGGCGGGCCGCCGCGCTCGAAGGCCGCGTCGACGTCCCGCGCGTAGAGCGTCGCGCCCCGGAGCGCCGCGGCCTCGTCGCGCGCGCGCAAGCCGGCGAGCTCGACGACGAACCGCGTCTTCGCGCCGAGGCGCTTGAGCTCGCGGGCGGCGGCGACGACGACGGGCCGCGGCGACCGCCGCGACGCGAGGCGCAGGTGCCGCAGGCCCGGGGACAGGAGCGCCGCGCCGTCGCCCTCGTAGCAGTTGACGCGGAGGCCGCCCCGGACGCCGTGCGCGCCGACGACCGTGCCGAGCTCCGCGAACCCGAAGGTCGACGGGTCCCGGGCGTCGAAGTCCAGCACCGCGCCCGGCGCGGCGCCGGACTTCGGCCGCGCGCGCGCCAGAGCGGCGCCCTCCGCGAAGCACGTCGCGCGCAGCGCGTAGCTCGGCGCGGCCGTCGCGTTCGCGGCCGCGGCCTCGCCGCGCTCGGCCCGCGCGACGGCGGCGGCCCAGGGGTCCTCGGCGTCCTCGGCTGCTTTGCGGTACTTGTTCACGTGGGAGCCCTTGCCGCGGCGCCGGGCGCCCATGCCCGTGCCGGCGCCGACGACGGACCGCAGGAGCGCGTCCATGTCCGTCGACTCCTTGACGGCCAGCGGGCCGGGGCCGCGGCGCGGCGCGCGGCGGTGCGAGCCCTGGAGGCCGAGGGCGGACGCGAGCAGACTCAACAGCGCGAACATGGCCCGCGCCCGCGGCCTCAACAGCGCGAACATCGCTCCTACCAGCAACAATCGACCACACGTCGACGCTGCCCTGGAGCCCGCAGCGGACGGCGGTCGGGGCTGTCCCGGCGTCCGTCGCGTGTCCGGCGCGGGGCGCGACCTCGTCGAGGCCGCGGGCCGCCTTGCGCGATCGTCGCACCGCCGCACGGTTCCGCGCGCGCCGCCCCGGCGCCGCCCTCAAAAGGCGCGCGCGCGCTCGAGGCGCGCGCCGGGAGCACACGCCATGCGGGCGTCGGACCGGCTGCGCCTGCTGGGCCCGAGCGAGCACGGGAGCCTGCGGTCGGCCCCCCAGAAGTACGGCGGCCGCGGCGGCGAGCCCGGCGGCGTCTGGTCCGCCGCCGGCGCGCTGCTCGGGCGGAGCAAGCAGTGGTACCGCGAGCGCCGCAAGATGGACCTCGAGATCGAGCAGTCGCCGCTCGAGTCGAAATTCAGCGCCCAGCTCCAGGACCTCATGGGCCAGGAGGAGCAGATCTGCGCCATGGGGCCGGACTACGTCCAGGGCCGCGCCGCGCAGCAGGCCGCGGCGACCTTCGCGAAGGTCGACGAGCTCCTCGCCGTCGAGACGAAGCGCTACTTCGAGACGCAGAGCCGCTACAACCAGCAGCGCTGGCAGTCCCTCTTCCGGCGCCACGCCCAGGAGCAGTCCCGGTTCCACGAGGAGCTCGACGCGCGCATGCGCGCGGTCGCGCAGCACGTCGGCGCGGCCGTCGACGCCGCGGCGCCGGAGCCCGCGGACGGCGGCGACGACGCGTCCTGGGCCTGGCCCTCCGCGTCGTCGCCGACGGCGGCGCAGCAGGCGGCGGCGCGCCCCGCGCCCGGCGGCGACGACGCGGACGCGGACCGGCGCTTCGACGACGCCGAGCGGCGCATGCGCCAGGGCAGGAAAAGGGTGATTCAACGTCGCTTCAACGTGAGTGTTCCGCGCGCGCGCGTTTCGGAAACAGCACCCACGCTTCGAGAGCGCTCCGAGAGATGACCGCTCGTCCAAAAATCAGCCGAAACGAGCGGGAAACGACCGAGAGAGGAGCCTTTGAAGTTGGGAATTTCGCACCCTTTTCCTGCCCAGGCATGCGCGCGGCGACGGCGGCCGCGTGGCGCGAGCACGAGCTCTTCAACCTGAGCTGCGCCTTCGGGCTGCAGCTCGCGCGCGTCGACGCCGAGTGGGCCGCCTACGAGTCGCGGCTCAAGCAGGAGGTCGACGCGCGGCTCGGCGCGCTCGACGCGCGGCGGACGGACGCCGCGCCGCCGGAGGTCGCGGATCACGGAGCGGCGCCGAGGCAGTGGCGCGACAAGGAGAAGCAGAGCCGCCTCGTCCACACGGCGCCCGTCTTCGAGCCCGACGCCCAGCAGGACGGCGCCATGCCCAAGATCGCCGTGTCCGGCCGCGACGAGGGCGGCGACAAGCGGCTCTTCAGCAACGGCTCGCAGCCGCGCGCGCGGTCGCCGGCCAAGGGGACCCGGCCGGGCGCGCCGGCGCGCCCGGCGGCGGCGCCGTCCGTCGCCGACGACGCCGAGCGCCAGGTCGCGGAGCTCCGGAAGGGCTACGCGAAGGCTTTGGACCGCGTCGAATTCCAGAAGGCGAACGCGAAGAAGTGGATCCACCGCCAGAAGACGCGCATGACGATCCAGATCGACGCCTGCGACCCCGTCTGCCGCTTCCTCGCGTCGCGGGTCGCGGCGGCGACGGAGAGCGACGGCTCGAAGGCGCGGCAGGCCGCGGCGTTCGACGCGCGGATCAAGGCGCACCTCGGGGCGACGCGCGCGGCCTCCGAGGCCGCGGCGGCGCAGGCGGCGCCGTCGGCCGCGGCGCCGCGGTCCGCGGCCGCGCCGGGCCTGGGGCCGGGCCTGCCCCTGCAGAACCACGCGGCGTTCCCGGCGCACGACGGTTCGGGCCGGCGGCGCCCGCCGACGTCCGACGCCGTCGTCCGCGGCGGCGGGCGCAGTCAGCGCAACCCGCACCACCTCCAGCAGCTCTCGAAGTCCTTCGGCGGCTCCTTCCCCGCGAGCGGCGCGGGCGCGAACCCATACGCGAAGGCGGGCGGCCGCCGGCCGAACACGTCGGGCGCGCCGTCGCGGGGCCGCGTCCGCGGCGGCTTCAGCCCCATCCACAACGCGGGCGCGCGCAAGGGCGTCGACGCCTCGGGCCTCGGCGAGGCGTCCATGAAGGCGACGCCCCTCCGCATGCACGTCCGCGCGGGCTGACGCCGCGAGGACGAGCGCATGCACGTCCGCGCGCGGCGCCGCGCCGGCGCCGGCGGGGCGCCGCCCCTTATCTCGGGTCTTCCGTAAGCCCCCTCGTTATCGTCCACGTGGATGGGTACCGCGGCCTTGGGACCCCCGGAAGTACCCGCGGCGAGGCGCGAGGGGGGGCAACGTGGACGAGATCTATGATACGTAGCCTGGCAAAGTGCCGCAAATCGACGACGACTCCCTCGGGCTGAAGCGTCGTGGGCAGCCCGGGCCGTCGGGTGCTGATGGCCTCCTCCGAGAGGCGGCGGGCCTACGCCGCGCCGCTGCTGGCGGCCGTCGGGCTCGCCGGGGCCGCCTTCCTCGGGGCGGCCTACGTCTCCGGGGCGCGGCCGGCCGGCAACCTCCTGTCTTTGGCCGCCGACGCGACGTCGCTGCGCAGCGCGACGGACGTGGCGCCGCCGCAGCCGCGCCTCATCGTCCAGAGCGAGTACGAGCAGCGCCTGGGCATCCCCATCGGCGACGGCCTCTACGGCCACGTGAACCTGGTCGAGCTCCACGTGAAGACGCGGCTGACGCTGGCGTTCCCGGACGCGCGGACGGAGGTGAACGTGGGGTCCATCCGCTGGGAGATCGGGGGCACGGACGGCGCCGAGGGCGACCTCCCGAGCGGCCGCCAGGTCGAGGCGCGCTTCGTCCAGCTCGGCCTCCACCGCGTCGCCGTGAAGTCGGAGTCGGACGTCGACTACCACTTCCACGTGACCGCGCGCTACGTGCGGCGCGAGATCCGGGATCTGACGGACGCGGACCGCACGCGCTACCTCGACGCGCTGGCCATCGTCTACCGCACGCCCCAGGCCGACGGCGAGAAGTTGTACGGGTCGAATTTCAAGTCCGCGGCGTGGTTGGTGCGGGAGCACTTGTACGGCGCCGCGGACCGGTCCTGCGACCACTGGCACGACGACGCGGGCTTTTTGAACCACCACGTCGCCGTGACCATGCAGCTCGAGGAGTCGCTCCAGGCCGTGGACTCGAAGGTCGCGAGCCACTACTGGGACTACACCGTCGACGCGGTCCTCGGCAAGAACTACTCCCGGTCCGTCTTCTTCGACGAGGCCTGGTTCGGCGACTCGAGCCCGGCGCCGGAGCAGGACCACGTCGTCAACACGGGCCGGTGGGCCTACACGCCCGTCCTGAAGGGCGCGGAGGCGCGCGCGTTCTCGAACATCACGAACCCCTACGGGCTGCTGCGCTCCCCCTGGAACACGAACCCCATCCCCTACCTCATGCGCTCCAAGTACACCATGGGCGTCGAGGACGCGCTCTACCAGATGCCCGCGTGCGCGGACTTCCAGTCGTACGCTCACGACGTCCGACCTGTCCTTCTCCGCGGTGTCTTCCGAGCTCAACGGCGGCCTCCACGGCATGGTCCACATCATGCTCGGCGGCCACTGGTGGGCGAACCGCACGTCCTTCGCCGCGCGGCTCGCGGACCACGTCGACGACATGCGGTCGTCGCCGCACATCGCGGACCAGTTCCTGCTGGGGTCCAAGTTCCTGTGGCGCCAGGGCTTCGTGCACTGCCCGGACACCTGCGACGAGGGCGAGGACGAGCAGTCCTGCGCCTGCAACTGCCCCGACGCGGCCATCAAGGGCCGGTCCGCGCTCGACATCTTCCACCTGACGGGCCTCCTGGCCATCGTGCCGCAGATCGAGTCCATCCTCGTGAAGCAGATCGGCTTCTCCTACGACGAGGTGCTCGCGGAGATGTGCCACGTGGGCCACCCGGGCGAGATGTTCACGTCCGCGGCGCCCCAGGACCCCATCTTCTGGCCGCTCCACGGCCTCAGCGAGCGCTTCGTGCAGCTCATCCGCCTCCTATCCGCCAAGGGCGTCATGACCTTCGACGACACCTGGGAGTACACGCACATCACGTCCGTCCTCAGCGACACGCGCGTCGTCTGCGACTGGTCCGCCGTCGAGGCCGAGGAGGCCGCGACGGGCGCGACGAACGTCTTCGCCAAGCCCGAGTGCTACCAGAACACGACGTGCCCGGGCCACAAGGCCGACGACGTGCTGCCCTTCACGGGCCTCAGCTGGGCGACGGACGTCACGTTCACGAACGCGCAGTTCTACACGGCCATCTCGCCGTCGAACACGAACCTGCCCTACGTCTACGACAAGCTCACGACGTGGCCCGCCTGCGTGAACCGGACCATCATCCCCCACGAGTGGCAGGGCACCATCGACACGCTCCTCGACTCCGAACTCCACTGAACGCGGCCGTCTGTCGATCGCCCCCCGCCCCCCCGCCTGTCCACCCCTCTTTAAAAACCACGACACAAGTCGAGGGGCCCGGGGCCGCTAGAGACGGGTTATCCGCGGCGCGGTCTCCGCGACTTCCGGCGAGTCCGCGTCGCGCCCCGGCGGCCGTTCGAAGGTCACGACGCTGCCGTCGTCGTCGCTCTGCCAGAGGGGCGCGTCGCTCGGCGGCACGGGCGCCTCGTCGGTCCGCGGCCGGTGCCCGTCCTCGGTCCGCGGCGGCGACGCGCCCGGGAAGTACCAGTCCGGCGCGCCCGACTCGGCGCCGTTGGACGTGATCGTCGACTGGGCCGCGAGGGCCGCGGACCGCTTCGACCGGTTCGGCGTGACGAGCGCGCGGATCTTGCCCGGGCCGGCGACGACGACGGACGGCTGGCGGTGGCGCGCGGCGTCGGCGGTGTCGTTGTAGAAGCGGCTGATGAGGTCGTGGGGGTGGAGCTGGCCCTCCTTGCGGATGCGCGCGGTGTGGTCCTCCCGCGCCTGCCGCTTCCAGGCGAAAAAGACCAATTTCAAACCCCGCGCGAAGATGTAGCCCACGTGCTTCCGCGCGAGCGCCGCCATGCGCGCGAACCGCGCCCAGGCCTCGAAGTGGTCCCGCTGCGTGTTGTCGAAGAGGCGCTTCACGAGGTCCTTCAAACGCTTGCCCGTATGGACGACCTCGGCCCAGGCGTCGAAGTGGAGGCGCTTCGCGTCGCCGAAGACGCGCCGCGCCATCGCTTTTACTCTTTTCATCAAGTCCTTGTACTCGCGCCAGCGGTCGAAGCGCTTCTGTAAAGAATTGGACAACAAGAAATTCCCGATGGCGTCGCGCTTGCTCCGCTGGTCCTCGCAGAGCCGCCGCAGCTCGCCGAGGTAGTGGCGCGCGCGCCGGTGGTAGTCGACCAGCGCGGCCCACCGTTCGAGCGCGTGCGTCTCCAAGTGGTTGAAGACGCCCCGGAGCATCCGGCGCACCTTCTTCTCGTTGACGACGTACTGGTGGAAGGCCTGGAACGCGACGCGCTCCGTCGACGCGCAGATCTTCGCGAAGAGGAGCTTCGCCTTCTTCAATTTGGCCGCGTACGTCCGCCAGCCGTCGAAGGCGAGGCCCGCGTTCCGCAGGAGCACGCGCCGCGTGAGCGCCCGCAGCTTCCGCTCGCGGTCGCGCGCGGCCTGGTCCCGCAGCGCCGCGTCCATGTTCCCCCGCGTCGCCAGCAGCAGCTGCGCGTACTCGCCCGACGCGGAGCCCGCGAGCGACGACCGCCGCCGCTTCTGGATCGTCGCGTAGTAGGCCGTGCGTCTGACATAAAGCTCCGAGGCCTTCTTGGACTTCAGCCGGAGGCGCTCGCCCTCGGGGTCGAAGCCGTAGAGCACGCTGCCGAGCGGGGTGGTGGAGGCGACGTACGCGGCTTTTGCACTTGCAATAACCGCTCTTTTCGCCCGCGCGAGAAATTTCGTCTTCGCGAGCTCCGACGCCTCGTCGAGGCCCGCGTGGTGCCCGGGCACGGTCAGGGCCTCGTCGTCGATGGACCCGACGACGCGCTGCCACTCGTCGCCCCGCGCGTGCGCCGGGTAGCCCGAGACGCGCGGGAGCTCGGGCGCGGGCAGCGGGTCGAGTTTGATTGGCTTCCTTAAATTCGTGCGCCAGGGCTCGAGCGCCTTCTTCGCGGGCGCGCGCTCCGTGAAGTAGCCCAGGATCTCCTTCTCGACCTCGAGCTCGACCTCGCCGTAGTGGCGGATGCCCGACGTGCCCGTGGACTGGGACGCGCGCCGCTTGACCTTGTCGGCCGCGCTCTCGCGGGCCTTGTCGCTCTTGAGGCGCACGCTGAGCTTGCGCGTCGACACGTTCTCCACGTCCCGCAGGGACCCCCGCTTCTTCAGCCAGCCGGGGGGCATGGTTGCGTCCGGGGCAGCCCTCTCCTAAACCATCATCGTCGGCGCTGAGAGCGCGGCAACTGGTCGATGGTGGTCGATGGTGCACAAAGAGAGCATCGCGTGCTCAGTGGCTTTGCCCTGTGGCCACATCAGCCGCAGTGCTCCTACAGCGTCGTCGCGTGCCGCCAAACTCAGCGTCGTCGCGTGCCGCCACACTCCGCGCCACCAATGGGTCTCCGCTCCCTCGTCCTCGCGCTGGCGCTCGGCGCCGCGTCGTCCTTCGTCGCGCCGGCGCAGCGGTCCCGGGTGCGACCGCTCGCCGCCGCCGAGGCCGCCCCGCCCGTGGAGGAGCAGGCCCTGACGGACAACCAGCGCAACGCGCTCAAGCGCGAGCTCGAGTTCCGGAGCACGAAGTACTTCTTCGGGCGCGTCGACGTCTTCATGGGCGCCCAGTTCAAGCCCCTGTCCGAGGTCTTCGACCCGAGCGTCAAGGACGACACGACGGCCGTCGCGAGCGTGGTCGTCGACGCGCCCTTCGGCATGGTCATCGAGGAGTCGGCGACGTACCCGGGCAAGGTCGAGGTGCTCGAGCTCGTCGACGGCTCCAACGCGGCGAAGGCCGGGGTAAAGGTCGGCGACATCCTCCGAGGCACGACGGCGATGGCGCTCGACATCCAGTCCGCGTCCGAGGAGGACTTCGGGTTCTCCATCGGCATCAGCGAGGGCACGCGCCAGCGCGCCTTCCTCCCGACGGACCGCAAGAGCTTCGACCTCATCATGAACGCGCTCAAGTCGAACGCGGCGGACAACGGCGGCCCGGGCGAGGCGTGCATGGTCTTCGAGCGCGTCGTCAAGGCGCCCGCGAGCCCCGCGGAGTAGATAAGTGCGAGAGAATTTATGGCAAGGGGGGGACCCGCGCTGCCCTAGGGCTGGGCCGCGGGTTTGCGCGCGAGTTTGCGGGCCCGCGGCTTGTGCGTGCGGGGCTGGACGCTCTTCGCCGTCTCCGAGATGGACTGCGCGTCGTCGAGCTTCGGGAAGGCGAAGGGCGTGTCGTCGCAGTGGGACCACTCGAAGTTGTCGTAGACGTAGTCGAGGCTGTAGTTGCCCGGCGCGTTGAGGTCGAAGATCTCCGCGTTCGTGAGGTACGCGTACTCGAACGTGCCGTCGGAGCCCAAGACGTGGCTCTCGAAGGACGTGACGTCGTAGGCGTTGTGGCCCCGGCAGTCCGTCTCCGTGTAGAGGCAGATGGCGTCGTCGGCGTCGCCCTCGGGCCAGGACGCGTCGGAGAACTTGTGCACGAGCCGCGTGTAGATGAGGAGCCGCTCGAGCGTCGGGTGGATGGGCCAGAACGAGATGTCGGCGGGCGACGCGGACTCGAGCTGCTCGCCCGGCGCCATGGGCGTGTCGCAGTAGAGCTCGTAGAAGTCGTTCCACTCCTTGTGGCTCAGGTTGCGGATCCACTGGGGGTTGTCGCCCTCGTAGGCCGCGGCCGTCCACTCGTCCTTGCCGATCTTGCCCGCCGAGTAGTCGCACTGGACGTGGCACTGGTCCTGGGGCGTGTCCTCGGAGCAGTAGTCCGGGTACTCGACGAGGTAGGAGCGCCACAGGTTCTTGGGGATCTCGACCAGCGACTCGGCGAATTGCCCCACGGCCGACGGCGGCAGGAACCCCTTGGCGCGCTCCACCAGATCCCCGCAGTTCACGTAGCCGCCGACCATCTTGTGGACGGCGCCGTGGGGCGAGTACTGGACGGCCCAGCCCCACTCGTACCAGGAGGCGTACGCGAAGGCCAGCGTGTAGTGCTCCTCGCAACTCGGCCAGTCCGTGAGCGAGAACGTCTCGTGGGCGCACATGCTGTGGGCCCGCGTCAGGAAGGGCGACTTGTTCGTGTTCCAGGGCGCGCGCAGGAGGCCGTAGGCGTTGTGGATCGCCGGGTCCTCGTGGTCGACGACCGCGACCTTCTGCCAGGCCCAGCGGCCCGTCTCGATCGTGTGGTACTTCGAGCCGGACGCGTTGCCGAACCAGTCCTCGCCCCAGACATCGAGCGTCCACAGCAGCGCCGGGTCGTTCGTCGTGAAGTTCGAGCCCGTTAGAAAGGACTCCGCGTCGTAGGTGAAGTCCCAGTAGGGCACCGAGATCGCCGCGTCGACGGACCGGAGGGACCGCTCGAAGGCCATGGTCATGGCCGCGTGCTGCGTCAGGAAGCCCAGCCCATCGTGCAAGTGGTCCGTGTTGCGCGTGCCCGCGTTGTTGAGGTGGATCTTCGTGAAGTTCGTGATCGTGTTGAAGTCGTCGCCGTAGAGCGCTAAGCCGACGGAGTAGTCCGTCGTCGCCAGGACGTGGGCCGCCGCGAAGAACTTGTCGCGGTTCGCGCCGCTCATGGCCCGGATGGACCGGCGCACGTAGCGGGAGACGAGCGTCCGAGACACCGTCGTCCGCACGCCGCCCGTGAGGTTCACCAAGGCGGACACGTCGTAGTTTCCCAGGTGGAGCGGCGTGAAGACCATGCCCCGGCCCCCGACGTGGGACGTGCGCACGCGCTGCGCCCCCTTGTGCTCCGCGATGTTCGTCGTCTGCGCCACGGTCCAGTCCACGGCCTCGACGGCCATCGCCGCGCCGCCGACCAAGGTGATCGTCGTCTCGCGGTGCGGCTCCACCAAATGGCCGACCGTGAGCCAGGGGTAGCCCCGGCCCGGCTGGCCGTAGTGGGCCGTGTCCTCGTTGCTGCACTCCATCTCCAGCGCGTCGCCGCTCGCGTCGAGCGCCTGCTGCCGGAAGGAGGCGCCGCCGGGCGCCGCCGCGAGCAGCGACGCCGCGGCGGCGGACGGCGACAGCGACTTCCGGTAGGCGACGCCGCAGGCCGCGAGGACCGCGAGGCCCAGCGGCACCCCGACGGCCGCCCGTCGTCGGCCGCCCATGGTCGATGGACGCCGCGCCGAGCTGCCCCGAGCCGCCCGACACACACTCGATTTGGGGATTTGGTAGCTACATGTCGATGCCGCTGACCTTACCGCTGGAGCGCCGGCTCGCAGGACGGACGCGACGCGCTCGCAACTGCTAGAACTTCACAATAATGTGGCGCGCCGCGGCCCTGCGCGCGGGCGGCGCGACGCTCGTCGGCTCGAGCCTCTTCGGCGACGGCGAGGCCGCCCGGGCCTGCGGCATCGTCGGCGTCGTCGGCCACAGCCCCGACGCCAAGGACATCCTGCTCGACGGCCTCGCCATCCTGCAGAACCGCGGCTACGACAGCGCGGGCATGGCTACCATGCGCAGGGCCGACGGCGGCGGCGCCTGCGACGTCGCCGTGACCAAGTACGCGTCCCGGGGCTCGACGGCCGACTCCGTCGCGCTCGTCCGCGCGGAGGCCGAGAAGCACGCCGCGCACACCATCGGCATCGCGCACACGCGGTGGGCGACGCACGGCGGCAAGACCGACGAGAACGCGCACCCCCACTTCGACTGCCGGGACCGCGTGGGCGTCGTGCACAACGGCGTCATCATGAACGCGGACGTGCTCCGCGACGAGCTCGAGGCCAGGGGCGTCGTCTTTCGATCCCAGACGGACACGGAGGTCATCGCGCAGCTGATCGGCGAGCGGCTCGAGGAGGAGGCGGGGCTGAGCCTCGTCGACGCGACGCAAAAGGCGCTGGCGCGCTGCGAGGGCACGTGGGGCGTCTGCGCGCTCGAGCGGTCCGACGCGTCGTCCGTCGTCGTCGCGTGCAACGGCTCGCCCATGAACATCGGCCTCGCCAAGGACCGCACCTTCATCGCGTCCGAAACATCAGCCTTCAACCGCCACACGAAGAACTTCATCGCCATGCAGGACGGCGAGATCGGGGTGGTGCGGGCGGGCGAGACGACGCTCGACATCCGCCGCGCGGAAGTCGCGCCGGACTTGGAGCTCCGCAAGTCGCCGGCGCCCTACAAGCACTGGATGGAGCGCGAGATCCGCGAGCAGCCCGAGGCCATCGCCCGGGCTTTGGCCTTCGGGGGGCGCCTCGGAGAGGACAAGGTCTTCCTCGGGGGCCTCGACCGCCAGCGCGACCGCATGCGCGACATCGAGCACGTGCTGCTGGTGGGCTGCGGCACGTCGCTGAACGCGTCGGCCTACGGCGCTCGGCTCATGCGGGACCTCGGCGCCTTCGACACGGCCCAGGCCATGGACGCGTCCGAGGTCGGCGTCCACGACATCCCGCCGAAGTCGTCGGGCGTCATCGCCGTGTCGCAGTCCGGCGAGACCAAGGACGTGCTCCGGACCGTGAAGAAGGCCATGGACGCCGACGTCGCCGCGCTCAGCATCGTCAACACGGTCGGCAGCCTCATCGCGCGCACGACGAAGCTCGGCGTCTACCTCAACGCGGGCCGCGAGAACGCCGTCGCGTCGACGAAAGCGTTCACGACGCAGGTCACGGTCCTGGCTTTGATCACCTGCTGGTTCCACCAGCTCCGCGCCGCCGACGCCGCCGCGGACGGCAAGAAGGCCCACTACTCGGAGAAGTTCAAGGAGCTCATGGTCGCGCTGCAGCGCCTGCCCATCTCCTTCGGCATGGGCCTCCGGCTGCAGGACCAGTGCCGGGTCGTCGCGGAGCGGCTGAAGACCGCGGACCACCTCTTCATCCTCGGCAAGGGCTACGGCGAGCCCATCGCGTCCGAGGGGGCGCTGAAGATCAAGGAGTGCACCTACGTCCACGCCGAGGGCTTCGCGGGCGGCGCGCTGAAGCACGGGCCCTTCGCGTTGATCTCCGAGGACATGACGAAGCGCACGCCCATCATCATGCTCATCCTCGACGACGAGCACGCGGCGATGATGCGCACGGCGGCCGAGGAGGTCAAGGCGCGCCACGCGGACGTCATCGTCATCACCGACGACGCGGCCCTCGCGCACGGCGTCGACGCCGACCCCATCGTCATCCCCCGCAACGGGAAACTGACCGCGCTCGGCGCGGTGCTCCCGCTCCAGTTCATCGCCTACGAGCTCGCGCTGCTGCGCGGCGTGAACCCGGACTTCCCGCGGCACCTGGCGAAGAGCGTGACCGTCGACTAGTACGCGCGGCGCTGTCCTCGAGCCGCCGCCGCCCGGAAGAGCTCCGCGCGACGGACGAGAGCGCCGCGAAACCCAAAAAAAAACACCCCGCCTCGGTCGGACTCGCCCTAGATACTAACACTCGTCTACACGGCACGCATCATTACTAAAAACTACGCCGACAGGCGGGGGTCCTCGTCGGCGTGGCCGTCCTCGACGTCGCCGCGCGGCGACGACGGCGAGTTCGGCTCGCTGGAGCGCTCGGAGAGGCCGTCGACGTCGACGCGGAGGAGCTCCGTCGACGGCGCCGGGGGGTCGACGACGCGGCCCGGCGTCGGCGGCGACCGCGGCGGCGTGAGGGGCCGCCGCGGCGGCGTCGTCGACCGCGGCCGCGACCGCGGGAACGGCGACGGGCGCGGCCGCGCCAGAACGGGCGTCGCGGGCTGGGCCGTGACGCGCGGCGACGCCGGCGGCGACGCCGGCGGCGTCGCCGGCGTCGCGCCGAGCTCCTCCGCGGGCTCCTCCGCGGGCACGAGCGCGACGTCCGCCAACACCACGGGCGCGT